ATAAATAGCTAATTAATCATCAATTATAATTATCTTTAATTTAATTTTTAGTTACAATATAAAGTTGTAAATTTATTAAAATAATTTGTTACTTACTCAATTGAACGTAAAACTAAGCTTCACTTCAAACTAAATATGGTGTTGAATAAGAAATGACGTTTACAATAAAAAAGATTTATTGTTGTGGCTTATGAGTTCAGCCTCTAAGGGTTTATTAGGAAGACAATCTTTTCTACGCTGACTGTATATTACGGACGTGATAATACATGTATTCTAAAAAAAATATTAACAAATAATTTAAAAATATATTGTTTAAACAAAAAAATAACAATTACGTAGGTTTTTAAAACTCTCAAAAAATTTATGTAAAAACTCTCACATTTTTACTATGTCTTCACATAAGTTTCAAAACGGACGTTTTAAAAATAGGTGAAAAAAAAATTTTTTTGAGAGCGCTGCATAGTGCATGAGCTCCTCAGATCGCCTGAAAGTAGCGTTTCTTTGGAATTTAAATAGAAAAATTACCAGTTACCATCACTAATAAACAGTTCTAAAGAAAACACATAATTTTCAATAATTTATTAAAATTTATTTTTCAAAAAATATCAATAATAAAAAACAAATTCTTCGGTTGAGTAAATACTTCACAAATATTTCACATGTTACGTTTGTGTCAAAATTCCCGGACCAACGTGACATGCCATATAAGGTAATATACCAGGAACATGAAAAAAACGTTAAAAAAATCTGTAAAAAAATTTTAACAATTATTTTTTGAAAATTGACTATTTTTATTTATGTCTATTTAATGATATTGATGATCTTGTATATGTTTTTTTTTTATAATTATTTAATAAAGGTACGATAATTTTGTCAATAAAAGCCACAAATAACATTAGACAGAGTTACAATTTAGGATACAGCTTCCTTGTTTCCTCTTCTAATAGACTGTAGCAAAAAAATGGAAAATTATTTTTCCAACAGAATTTTTTTTACATTTTTTCCATGTTCCTGGTATCTTACTTTCTATGGCATGTTACGTTGATCCGGGACTTTTGACACACCCTGTATAATCTAATCGACAAGTTGAAAGACTTTGCGATTTTTTAAATGATCATTTTAGTCGAACGAAGCTCATAAAAGGTACGCGAAATCTACATACTTTTATTTTAATATCAGAAAATAGAATAAAAAAAGATATAGAGAGAACTCTTCCTCAACCGAGGAATTTGTATTTATTATTGATATTTTTTGAAAAATAAATGTTAATAAGTTATTCGAAATTATGTGTTTTCTATACAACAGTTTATTTGTGACGGAAATTGGTAATTTTTCTATTTAATTTCCAAGGAAACCCTACTTTCAGGCGATCTTAGACATAGTAAAAATATGAGAGTTTTAACATAAATTTTTTGAGACATTTAAAAACCTGCGTAATTGTTTATCTTTTCGTTTACACAATATTTTTAAATTATTTGTTAATAACAAATTTTTAGAATACATGTATTAACACTTCCGTAGTGTACCTACTTATATCAATTATTTAAAAAAAATCGTTTCAATATGTTGATTTGCTCTTTAGATAAAATTCTTTTTGTTACGAGGTACTTATTTTTGTCAATCCATTTTTTCAACATACATTGAAAAAATTAAAAAACGGTGAAAGTGAAATACGTGTCACTTATTTTTACACGTTTCTATAACATACAAAAATCAGAAACAATGCGTTTTAAAAGTGATCGTTTTGGCATAGAATTATTCCAAAATGTTTCGTGAAAATACCTATAAGGATGTAAGCGTTCTTGGAAAGGAATTTCAGGAAGTCCTCAATAGCTCCTAAGCAGCAGTCGACCAAAAGTTTGGCATGTTTGTTATTTATTAAACCTCTTATCAAAGCTCTGATTAGGGCAATAATTGTAATAATAAAAGAACCAAAAGCGACCGAACCTAGGTGATATCTGACCAAATTGTAAAAACTGGTGTAGACGGGGGAAACGACAGATGACTTGTCCCTAAAAAATACGTTTTGTTTCGTCTTTAAGGAGCACGACACAAATTTGTGAAAACAATGTCCTAGAATTGCGATTTTTTAATCTTTGAAAAGACTTAAAATCATTGTTTTCTCAACTGTTACCTTGCGAAATAGTAAGATGCGACGGCGCCAGAAATGACCACATGTTGGCAACCAATAATAAATTGCCACATCCACAAACTAATCACGAGGTGCAAGAACAAGGTAAAGAGAATCGCAAAATTTGGGATGTAGTCACACATATCAAAGTCTATTTTTTGCAAGATTCCAGCGGTGGACATTACAATCAAAAAGAATACGAATATTATCAATAAAATAGTGCTTGCAACAAACGTCTAAAAGAGAACAATTAATACTTGAGATAATCAAAATTGCATAACTGACCAAAACAGGTTCAAAAACAATTACAGGAATGCCAAAAATAACCTTGATTGCTTCTTTAAACAGTCGGATGACGAGTTTGATTCTCTTAAACATGCAAATTAATACTATTATTAAAAGCACTGAAAGGACTGTGAAGAAAATAGCTAGGGTTTGAAAACCAGAAGAGTTGGAGCCAGTCTGGTTGCTATTCAAGTACCTAACATGTATTTAAAATTAAAAAAAATAATTAATTGGTGTGTTTTTACTCACCAGAATATTCCAGCCAAAGCAATGATTCCGAGAAGTGAACCGATGAGTATAACCCAAACGACCACCGCAACGAAATATCTGAACAAGAAAAGCATTCCAACAGAAAAGACTAAAACAAAAATATTCAAAATTCGTATTTGTGTTATGACCTATTTAGGTACCCAATCCTATGAGGCACATTAGAACTATGTAACCCGCAGATTTATTGATGTCTCGACCTATATTCTAAAAACACAGAAAATGGTAAATTTGATTGATGATGTTTGAGTTTCATACTGCAAAGACTTTCTCCGAGTCGTCTTCAATCTTAGATGATGATGTCGAAGGATAACATCGGTTGAACAACTCCACGCTAGAAAAGATATTTTAACAACAAAATTTTAGAACAGTAGAATATTTTTCTCTGCGACAAAATTTCACAATTTGATCAAATTTCTATAACACCAACACAAATTTTTTTTGAACTTAGAGGGTGGGACGTTTAAAGATCTAGAACTTCGAGCTACGAGGTTAGATAAGTGATAAAAAAGTGCCTTAAAAAATCAGATTTTGACAAATTTTTGAACAACATCACTGGCAATATGACAATCTAAGTTATAATTTTAAAACCCCAATTATTAATCACTGTCGTCGAATTATACAGTTTTCCTATTTTTTAATGGTAGACTGATCTCGCAATTTTTTACTAGATTTACTAGATTTCAAAATGTGCTGTTCACAAAAAGCAATTAGAACTTCTTCAATCTAAAACAGATTATGGGTAAATCGAAAAGGTGTTTTTTAAATGTTCGTTCATTGTTCACTGGTTTCCAAGAACTTACTACTTTAATTACTGAATATAACTTTGATATTGTTGGAGTATCTGAAACATTTTTGAATGAAAACAAGTGCACAATCTTACTGTAAATGCAATAAGGCAAGAGAAAAAAGCATATTTGACTGCTACAAGTAAAAAATTAGATAAAAAAGAAATAAAAAAAGGTGACAGTGATATATCCAACTCTAATGTTGATGGTGTCAATAATTACTTTTTGTCAGTATTTAGTATGCCAAATATTTGTGCTAATGCGATATTTTTGCTTAAAGGTAAAAAAATTTAACGTAAACAGTTTTTTTCAAGTTCAAGAGATAATTAATGATTTAAAATCAAATGCTCTTGGTGTTAATAACATTTCTGCAAAGATGTTGAAATTATGTTCACGCATATTGACGAAATGGATTACTCACATTGTCAACTGCTGTATTTAGATTGGATATTATCCAGAAATGTGGAAAACTGCTTTGGTGCGTCCTTTACCCAAAAAAACCCATTAGCATATTACCCGTCTTATCAAAAATTTTAGAAAAATTCTTGATGATTGCTTTAGAGCTTTGGATAAAGGTGATACCATCATTGTGACATTGTTGGATTTTTCTAAAGCATTTGACACTTTAGACCACTCACTTTTATGTGCAAAATTAACTTTCTATGGTTTTGACAACAGTTCAACTTTTTTTTTTTAATTCGTATCTTACTAATAGGAAACAAATTGTTACTATAGGTCCCTCACAATCAAGAGCAGGAAATATTACATCCGGTGTTCCGCAGGGTTCAATTTTGGCACCACTTCTATTTTTAATATACAGCGCAGAAATATTAGAATAGGTAAAATATGTTAACATCCATGCCTTTGCAGATGATACACAGTTGTACTATCATTTTGATGCTAACGATGTAGAAAAAGCTTGCAATTTTATTAATCAAAATTTAAATGAAATTTTCTTATTTTATAAAAGCATTGATTTGAATTTAAATTCGAGTAAATGTTCATCAATTTGCATTTCCACAAGAAATAAAAAAAATCAACTCGGAAATTCATCTCAAAATAATATGGAAATAAGTATCTCAAACAGTGTGAAAAATATTGGAATTATAATGGATTCGAAATTACGATTTAGAGAACATGTCAACTTGATTGTAAAGAGGTCTTATATTGTTTTAAAAATGTTATATTCCAATTATTCGAAAAAAACTATGCGAGTCATTGGTGCTTTCCAACCTTAATTATGGTCTCATTATTTATTATTCATGTTTAAATTATCAATCTAAATATAAATTACAAAAAATACAAAATTCGTGCTCTCGTTTTATTTACAAATTAAGAAAATTTGTCCATGTATTTCAAAAAATAAAAGAACTTGGTTGGCTTTCGGTAGACCAAATATACAATTATTTCTTGTCAGTGTTCATATATAAAATGTTTATTACTGCTTGCTTTTTGTTATTTTCTTCTTGTTTTAACTCCTGTTATTTCTACTAAAATAGTTTTTTTTTAATTTTAGTTAAACTTTAATGCAATTTTTCATTTTTTTTTATTGTTAAGGGGGTTAAGTATGAATAGCAGATGCTAGACTTTGCCTCCTGAGTTGTATTTACTTGTACATACAATTCAATAAAGGCGCTTTATTATTATTATTTTAAATGCAAAAATGGTGAAGGCGCCGGGATAATCTCTGAAATAAGAATCTATAGTCAAAGTACTGTTAAAAAGATGACCCAAATTGAAGAAAAAAGCTTGATCTTCTACATCGATTCAACAAAATCTTTTAAATAATTGATATTTTTAATAAAATAGTTTTATTAAAATCAATTAAAATGGTGGAGGCACCAGGATAATCGCTGATAAATAAAAATAGAAAAATCATTTTCTACAACTTTTCACTAATTTTGACACTTTTTTTGGCCATTAAACCTGATTCACATTAGGGAAATGAATTAAATATATTTTCTACTTTGTACTTACTATCCAGGCCCACATTCATTGACACATTCATCCCTAATGAATTGTTCGTCGTCCTCCGACAAGGCATTCCTATTTTTCAGAAGTCTCAGAAATCTTAAAAATAAATTTTTGCATAAAATATGCCTAATTACACACTATGTTATCATACGGCTTATTTGTCATGTCTTGTCCCGAGCAATTAATACCAAAAACTTGAGTATTTTTCTCGCCACAAACGTTGCCGCATTTGTCATATCCGTTAATTAATCTATCGAGATCAGATTGGATAAATGTGTATATTAAAAAGGGTACCTGCGAATGTGAGAGTTAGAAATTATTGGACTTTTTATATTAACTAAAACCCACCAAGATGGCTAAGAAAACTCCAAACACAATCGTGAATTTAAAATCGGTCACTCTCCTTTTCGCTGGAATTTCTGGTATTTGGTAAGTATCCCCAATCCCCACATTCTTCCTGAACTCTCCTATCTGAAAATAAAAATTTAGTCAACTATGAATGTTTGGGCATAAACAAAAATTTCGTATTGTTTTGATGGTTATCCAGTGATAATAATCCTTGTTCTCTAAAATAGAATAAATGATGATATTAGTGACTAGAAAATTTGGTTTGTTAAAATAAAATATTTTGTCTAAGTTGCCAGATATTGATTTCTAAGATGTTCCATGTTTGTTATTTTCTCGAGAACAGCAAGTTTGAAATATGTGTGTAGTTTGACCCATATAAGAAACTTCTCATAATGATCTGAAAAATAGCCTCAAGGCTTGAAAGGCCAACAACTTTTTTCGATAAAATCTTTTTTACACTGATTTTGAAACTGTGTAAATTAATTAATTACACAGTTTCAGTATTAATTAATTCGTAAAGAAAAGTATCGTAATCAAATATTACAAACGATAAGAGTAATACTAAATGTATCATCAAAAAAAATTAAATTAAACATTTCGAACTTTATTAAAGTATGTAACTGAAAAAAATTTGATTGATAACAGTTTAATGCCTGACAGTGGTGGTGTTATGACAAAAAAATCTGCACATTAATTATACAGGATGGTCCAAAAGTCTGAAAACGGTTTTATTCTGGCGAAACTGTCAATTCTTTTGGCAAATAAATTTATAGGTATGCACTATAAAAATTCTATTCAAAAAAAATTGAATTAATTAATTAATTGTTTAATTAATTGAATTAATTGTTTATACTTACGAGATAAACATAGTAACATTTTTTTTAAATGCTAAATGGAAACCTATCACAATTTTTTATTTTGGACTCAATGTTAAAGAGTGCTTTTATCAACTAATTTCAGTAGATAAAGTAGTCTCTTATCGTCTAGTGAAATAAAGTAATTTTTATCTACTGTTTAGCTTTCATCAACTAATTCTAGTAGATAAAGTAGTCTTTTATCGTCTAGTGAAATAAAGTGATTTTTATCTACTGTTTATATTCAAGAAATTCTGGTAGGTGAGTACAAAATTAAACGAAATATTATACACGACGATAAAGATTGTTTATCTACGACTGAAAAGGTTAAGTTTACAATTGACAGATAAAGTTTATATTTTTTTAACATAAATTGTAATTCTTCTTCTTGGATCTTCTTGGTATGGAAACGATGAACATGTTCATAATAAATTGTAATATTTTTAATAAATATTTTTGTACATATATAAAATGCATAAACATATCTTTGTAAAACAATAAATAAAAAACCGTTTTTATTTAAGAAAAAAATTATTTGTATGGTAATCTAAAAAGTTTAAACAATTAATAATTAAAATAAAAAAATATGTTGGCATCGCTCCTTTACAACCTTTAAACATTTATTAATTTATTTCGAAAAAATACTGGTAGTTTACTCAAAAAAAAATTTTTATTCATGTAAGTCAAACTTTTTTTAACAAAAAAGTGTGAAATTTACAAAAAAAATGCACAGCAACAATTCTTGTAACAAGCTCGACTAAAAAAAAATGAGGTAGGTTTCCATTAAAAAAAAATGGTTACTATGTTTATCTCGTAAGTAGGTATAAAGAATTAATAATTTCTTTTGAATAGCATTTCTATAGCCATTGCACACCTATAAATTTATTTGCCAAAAAAATTAATAGTTTCGCTAGAATAAAATCTCTTCCTGACTTTTGGACCACATGTATTGACAATAATGCATGATCTACTAATAACTTTTTTGAAGTGACAATGGTGGACCAAATTTATTGTCCAGCACTGTACATTAAAAAACAATATAATGACTAATGAGTTAATGACATTATTAAATGAAATACAATAACGTTTTTACACATTGTTATGCAATGTTCAAAGCAATTACTTATAAAGATAAAATACAGGTGTGTCAGAACTCGCGCACCAAAGAAAAATTTCAAGCAAGATAAGATACCAGAAACATGGAAAAAAATATTTAAAAAATTCTGTCAAATTTTTTTGACATTTGACATTTTTTTATATCTATTTAATGATACTGATGATCTTATATATGTTTTTTTGCAAATATTTAGTACAGCTTCCTTGTTTCCTCTTCTAATAGTCTATAGCATAGCAAAAAAACTTGGAAAATTATTTTTTCAACAGAAATAAATAACGTCAAAGTGTAAAACTTAAACTCTCATAACTTCGAAATTTTTATAGATATTTTTTTTTTAACATTTTCTCCATGTTCCTGGTATCTTACCCATTTTTCTCTGGGCGCGAGTTCTGGCGCACCCTCTATAATACGTATAAAATAATACTTGAAAAAAAAAACTTGACTTTAATAATGTGCTCTATTTCCTTATTTGTTTCAAAAAAATTGTAACACAACTATCCTACCGTTTTTTTCATGTTAATTACCAACAAAACGGTATTAGATAGATACACATACGTATGTAGACGAAGCATTGACATATTTGGATTTCCCAGTCAATAATGTAACCGCTAAAAGTTGACGACCTACAAGTACTATAAAAAAAAACAAATTGTACAATGCATGGTGGGAATATAATTTTCTTACTTCTCGAGTGTATTTGTTTAGTTAGAACGTAAATTAAAAATCTCCGGTCCTTCGAAGTGAGCTGGGCTCAGGAGGGCACTAAGAACATGCCGATTTATGCTTTCTGCTTATATTCCGAAAAAAATTGTTTTAAAAAAATGAATGCTCATAATTTTTTTTATAAGATGGCCTTCTCGAATTTTTGGTATCTCCAACAGTGTTTGAGATATTTACTAGCAAATATCATATACTAGCGAAAAAAAATATTAATGAATGAACGTAAAGATTGTTGTAAAAGTTGTAAGCATTCTGATTGGGCCGTGTAAGGTCAGCCATCATTAAAATGTGAGAAACCAATCACTTGAAACTTTAGTTTCATTCAAAAGTAGTGAAATTAATTAATTCGGATTTGTATTCATTCGTTAAATTCATAAATTTTCTTCGAATCCGAACATTCATTCATGCAAGATGTGAAACATAACCTCACTTTCTTGGAGAAAGGTACGAAAACACTATTTTTTAGAGGCTTACAGTAAAATTTGCAACCTGCAACCAACATTACGCCACAATTACTTTTGCTGTAAACTTAAAATTTAAGCTCCATCATACAAAGTGAGGCAAAAACTATTTTTTAAAGAGCGATATTTGCTAACGGATATCTCGGAAACTATTTAAGGTACAGAAAAACCGAAAATGTAATAAGCTTTAATTTAGTTAAAATATTTTTTTCCTAACACCTTCTTGGTGTCCACCTGCGCCGGCTCGCCGCGCAAAACGGGAAAAACCACAAAAAATCTTGTTCACCCTTAATTATTGTAAAATGCAACAATGGACATTTGAAATAATTACTTACGTCTATTGGTTGAGGCACTGGTCTTTGAGTTGAGTTAGAAGCCCCCATCGTGAAGCCGATTTAGTTTAATTTCTAAAACAGAATAAATATTGATAAAGTATAAAGTGTATTGTTAAGCAAAAGTGCAATTTAGATAACTAAAATATTTGTGTGTACAAAAGATGATGCGCTTTTAACATTTTATCTCTTATGAATTCCAAGAACATTTTCTTGAAAGATAACTGCGACTTTCCAAAGACCAAACTTTCTAAATACCAACCCTAGCGTTCAGAGATTCAGGTATAGGAACATTGATAAAAAACCCACTCGTAGTTTGAATTTTTGAAACACCATCTGAAACATTTAAAAAAATGTTTTGTCTAGCAAGAAGTAAGTGTTGAAACTTGATATATTAATTAGTCACTCCAGAGATTTACTTTCGCATTCCAGACCTCCACAGTAGCTTACTGAACTCACTTAAAATCGCATTTTATTAATAAAAATCACTGCTTTTTGGAGAATATTTACTTCATTAACTATTAAACTAACACATTTTAAACTATTCTCAATATGTTTTTGTTGTAATCGAATTTCATTTATAATCATCACCAAAAAAATTGTGACATAATTTTCACGAGTATACTCGAAGCAAAGTTTTATTTATATTTCTGTAGGAAGGCAGGGAGTTCACATAATGTTTCTCATTGATATTAATTATTATTAGAGAAACTATACATAGATACTTTTTGTGTCTTTTTATTTGGTCACAAATTTTGATTGTAAATCTCGCTGGGATAACCCCCTCTTTATTTTTAAAAAGGTCACCTTATCATTATAAAATAATGTCTTGACCTCAATACCGTCCTGAGCCCGACTGGATTATTTCAGTGATTGAGTATTTCCAAAATTAAAAAGTATGTTTTAAATAATATAGCCGACTAGAAGTATTTTTCAACATTAGATAAACCTGTATTTTGTGTATTTGATAATTGTACATTTTACGTCCTCATTCAAAATTTAATATACAAACACATAGCAGATGAACAAAAAGTATAGAACAAAAAATTTTTGTTAACTTTTTCTTTTTTGGAAAAACTAATTGATGAATGATCAAGTGCTATAAAAATGTGATGTTTTATCAAGAAAAAAATTTCTCGAAATTTGCTTTTATTTTTGATTTCTACAAAATTTTTAATTTTTTAAAATGGCTACCCACTATAACACCATTTTTGTCATGAAGGTTATGATCCAAAAATTACAACTATCTATTCTACCAGGTGAATAAAAAGTATGGAACCAAACGTTTTTTGCTTAAACTATTTATTTTTTGAAAAAACTAATTGATGAGTGATAAACTACAATAAATATGTGATGATTTAACAAGAATAATTTTTTTCCAAATTTCCTTTTGTTTTTGAGTTCTACAAAAAAAATATATTTTTTTAAATGGCAACCCATTATAAAATCATTTTTCTCATAAAAACTATACTCTATAGCAATTTTTTCAAAAAAAATTTTTCACATAAATTGCAATTTTGACAAAAAAAATCGCATAACTCAAAAACAAAACAAAATTTTATTCTGAAAATACGATCACATTTTTTATATTACTCTAATTTATATTAATTATTATTTTCTGGAGGCAAATGATTAAAAATAAAACCGCTTGGTTCCATACTTTATATTCATCCTGTATGTTTAGTTTTTCATTTTTTTTTTACATAAATTGCAATTTTGACAAAAAAAAAACCGCATAACTCAAAAACAAAACAAAATTTCGTTCTCAAAATGCGATCACATTTTTTATATTACTTTAAATTATATTAATTTTTATTTTCTAGAGGGCAAATGATTAAAAAAAAAAAGCTTGGTTCCATACTGTATATATTCATCCTGTATTTATAATAAATAAAATAAATCCAAACAAAAATAATAAAGAAACCATTACATAAATATAGATATCGTACAACAATAATTTTACGCAGCAGTGCTTCTGAGTTATGAGTTAGAGAGTAATAGATATAAAAACAATAGGAGGAAGCAAGATCAATTATACAGTATGTCCCCGGATTGAGTTTACAAAAGGAAAAAAAAATCTTTGATTTTACGCCAAAACTGCAAAGAAAAAACATTTTTGCTCCACCTGAAACGAGCAAATCTGTACTTAAAACTTCATTATTCTGGTTCAGTGAAAAGAAAAGTTAATTTTTCTCTTGATTCTCGACTTAGGATAATTTTTCTCTGCTTTTTAAGTTCTATCACATTGGCGGTCCAAAATCCAGAGAAAAATGAACTTTTCTCTCGAATTACAAATTTGCTCGTTTCAGATAACAAAAAATGTTTTTCCTTTGCAGTTTTGGCGTAAAATCAAAGATAAAAATGTTTTTCCGCTTGTAAACTCAATCCGGAGACATACTGTATATTTAGTTTTTTCAAATTTTTTTTTTACATAAATTACAATTTTGACAAAAAAACGCATAACTCAAAAACAAAACAAAATTTCGTTCTCAAAATGCGATCACATTTTTATATTATTTTAAATTATATTAATTATTATTTTCTGGAGGCAAATAATTTAAAAAAAAACGCTTGGTTCCATACTTTATATTCATCCTATGTTTATGAAACGTTTAAATTAAATTAAACAAATCAAAACAAAAATAATGAAAGAATATAGATATAGATATAAATATAGATACATACCGTACAACAATAATTTTACGCAGCAGTGCTTTTGTTATGACTTATGAGTTGAAGAGTAATAGATATAAAAACAACAAGAAAAGCAAGATAAATTATACCACGTGAATAAAAAGTATGGAACCAAGCGTTTTTTTTCGTAAACTAAGCACTTTATCAAGAATAACATTTTTCGAAATTTCTTTTAGTTTTCGAGTTCTGGAATTTTTTTTTAATGGCAACCCACCATGGTAATTTTTTTAATTAAATATTATGATCTAAAAATGAACTATAATTAAACAGAATTGTTTTTTAGTCAGTACTTTTTCGTCTTACTCTTACTTCAGGAAACCCTATTGAATGCACTGTTGCACTATTTTAACTTAAGGGCTGCAATGTTGCGTAAAACTATTGTTACACTGTATAGTCAGGATTACAAGAATAGATAATGTTAACATGATTTACACGGTGTAAATCCAAACAATCTAATCTAAATAAATTATGTTTAATTAGAACAGAATAAATATACATATTTTGTGAATAATTATCCTGATTAAAAATGTCATGAACAAGGTCAAAAATGATAACACTGTTATTTGTTAATATTAAATAACATATATGAAAAATAATCTCATTGACGATAAAAATCCGGTTATTGAAATGCATTTTTAAGTTATGACAATAACAATGCATGTTTTATGACGTTAAATAATTATACTACAAACTAGACTAAATTACACCACGCTTCAAATTTATAACATGTCAATTTTCACTAGTCCAATAACACAATTCTTTTATTTCATTTCAAAAAATGTTGCTGCTATGTTGACTTTTAAAACAGAGTTAATAATCTGTTAAAAACGAGTCTAGTGTGATTATTAGTGCTTCCGTACCTGAAAAGTTGTATCAATCACGGGTCAAGGTCTTCAAAAACGTGAAAATGGAAAATACACATTTTTTTAAAATGATTTGGCGTTACATGTTTTTTAATTGAGATGATCTCATCAGTTACATAACAATATGCTCGCAATATCCATATCAAAACAAAATTGTATGTATTTCAAAACTGAAGTTTTTTAAAATGTTTAATGGCATTTTTCATCAAGATAAATGAAAAAAAAAAAACTGGGACTGCTAATTTGTTTTATTAAAATTACCAAGACTAGATTTGCAAGTATTTTGTCTACTTTTTTACAGGCATTCTTTTAAAACAATTTTAATATTTTTCAGTGGATGGAAGTTGTAGAATTATAATTATATAATAAAGCCTATTTTTAAATAATGGCTTTGTTTAATAACGGCTATGTAGCCACTTTATAACATATTAAGTCACTAGTTGGTCACCTGTACATATAAATAGATCAGTAATCGGCCTTGATTGGAAAATCAAAAAGGAAAGCTAAACCTTGACGGTTCAGTGACGTACCTGGGTATCATTAGCCAGCCGTAATTAAATTCTGACAAACAAAAGCAGTAATTGATTTCACATATTTTTTTCAACAAGTTAGTTTTAGGTATACTAACTGATGCGACATTTGCGGTTTGGAAATGTATTTTACTTTTATCCTGAATTCGTACGTTAAAACAACAAACAATAGCCATAACATTCAGTTTAAAAACAATAGAAACGTGTTAAAGTAAATTTAGTACCCACATATTTTTCCAGAGTAGATAAATATGTACTAAAATATACATATCCAGGTATCCCAGCGAGTTGAAAAAGTCCATTAGTGACCTTTAAATTGTAAAATTCAAAAAAATTGTATAGGACATTGATACAAACTAATCTAGTCCATCGCCTAAAATTATTTTCAACTATATAACGTGTCTCAAAAATTGTGTTTTTTTTAGTTTCTTAGCGTTCTTGGATGTAGGTTTTTATGACGGGGTTTTTAAGCTAAACGTTTATTGGTCGATTTTGCTTAAAATAAGATGGTTTTTTTTGACGAAAACATGCCCTTTTAAAAAATTTATTACACAAAAACTAAGACATCTAAAAATATTTTTTTACTGCTGCAAAGAAAAAGGTATACGTTATAAGGTGGTAACATTTGCAAAGATTTTTTGCGTTTGTTAAAAGTTCAATAACTTAAAAAAAATAAATGAAACACCCTATTTATTGTTTTTGCATTTAAAATATTATTAAATTGTCTTTCTAAAATTATTAAAAATATATTTAACGTTAAACATTAAAAAAAAAATAATTACTATAGTTTCAGTAGCCAAAAAGTGCACAGTTGCACAAGAGATAGAATAAATATCACTTAATCACATTTGTGTTAAACTGAATCCATTATTCTTTATTTTTACAATAAAATAATTCTAATTTCAGTATTTATAACGACTTCGTAAAAAAACGTCATATTTCTAAAACTAAAAAAAAAAATTTTTTTTTTAATCCATAGAAACTGGAGAGAATTCGACGAAAACATCTGCACAATTCGAAGGTCAAGCTCTTTGTATAGAAGCCCAGCCTCTTTTAAATAACTTAGCAAAAAAAAAACAGTCCCGAAAATAGTTCTCAATATCGAGACGTGACGTTTTTTAAAACAAAGTGCTACAACATTCACTAAAATGGAAGTAATTAAAGAAAAATTAAATTGTTAGATTAAATTGTTTTAATAGGTGAATAATCAAACGGTTTTTGTTTAAACTATTTATTTTTTAATTGATGAATAATAAAGTACTATAAAAATGTGATGTTTTATCAAGAATAAAGTTTTTCGAAATTTTCTTTTGTTTTTGAGTTCTACAAAAAATTTTTCTTTAAATAGCAACCCACTATAAAACCATTTTTCTCATGAAGGTTATGAACCTGTAACCCGTATTTTAATATACCCTTTATTATGTTGGTATTTCAGTTATTTCTGTTTTTCATTATAGTATAGTAAAAGTGGTTGAAGATTTTATTTTATTGAAAAATGATCCCTCGTTCGTAAGTAGAAATTTTCATTGTTAGTTTTTTTTTTCAGTAAGACTACTCGAATTAAATAAATAATTCGAAGGAATTTAAAAATTAATTATTCGCAGGTAGAAATTCGAAAAGACAATTGTAATAACAGAACACTGTTCGATTTCACAAAAAATAAAAATAAACACAATTTACATTAATTAATTAATTACAGATGGTGGTGCAGTTAATTTGGACCAATTTATTAGACAGATATATCATATAACCCGCCAAGGATTAGAAAAAATTCAAAATAAAACTCAAAATACTCCCTAAAAAACTAAACTGAGACTGTCAGAACTCACGACCTAGAGAAAGATACCAGGAACATGGAAAAAATGTTTAAAAAAAATTTATCTATAAAAATTTCGAAGTTATGGAGGTTTAAAGTTTGCACTCTCTATTTCTGTTAGAAAAATATTTTTTTGTATAGGCTATTAAAAGAGAAAAAAAGGAAGCTGTATCCTAAATTGTAACTCTGTTCAATGTTATTTGTGGCTTTTATTGGCAAAATTTTTGTACCTTTACTAAATAATTATGAAAAAACATATACAAGATCATCAGTATCATTAAATAGATAGACATAAAAAAATGTGAAATGTCAAAAAATTAATGTCAAATTATTTTGACATATCGAATTTTTTAAACATTTTTCTAGTATCTCATCTTACTTGAAACTTTACTCTGGGGCGCGAGTTCTGACTCACCCTTTATATTTGTGGTTATGCTTTAATTAGTTGACCGTGCAGAAGCACTGATAAGATAATTAACGCTGCGTCTAATTATAGACAAAAACAAAATTAAGCTTTTCTCAAAAACTCACTAGGTTTACACAAATGACAAGCTGTAACTCAACTTTTAAAAAATGTATTCGTTAAATCAGTACAAACTGAAACGCAAAAATCATAAATTCCGTTTAGTGGACTGTACAAGTGATGAATTCACAATTTAATCGACTTCATAAATAAACATTATCACAAAAGCAACTTACTTCTGCTATGCAAATAAATTCTTCTCTTCTTCACTTTTTTTTTCACTGCACCACCGATTCGGTAATACCACCCACGAGTCACATAACAAAAAACCCTACAAAAAAAACCAAACATCACATAAAAACCGTTATGTTTTGCAAAGCGAAGTTGATTTTCTATATTTTCCCACTGCTTTTTCTCGCATTGCCGTAATAAATGATTTAAACAAAATAAGGAAACAAATTCATCACTTACAAATTACTGTAAGACCACAGCCTAAGACACACGGTTCACGTTTACACTTCTAAAACGAATATCTAGCATCTAGCAGCACTCAAAAATACCAACCGGAATACGAGACTCCACTGCTCTACTGCACATGTCAAGGAAGAGGATGGGGGATGAATGGAGTGGGTGGTGCAGGAGAGGGGTGGGTTGGATCTTGGATCTAGGCACGATCTAGGGCACTCTAGGGGGTGTGCTTCGGGTTCCAACAAGGTTCCACTGTGCCCCCCATGGGATAGAGGAACCTTGGGTTTCTAATTAACAATAAATCGGGCTAAAGAACTGAGAAAAAATTCAATCAGTTTACACCACAGAAAACCGAAAACATTATCGACTATGAATTCTACGAATGATCATCATAATGACCAGGGATGGAAAGTTGGGAGCGAAATGTTCCAAATTTTAACAAACTAAAAATTAGCTCTTCTGTAGTATCATTTATTTGTTTATAAAATGTATTTTATCATAAAAAAACTGTTTAATTGACTTCGCCTTTGAGTGAATTGATTTCATGTCATCAAAAATACCCAAAAAATTTATATAAAAACATCAAGAAAAAGTTAATTGGGAAGAGATACTAAGTCTGGGAAGACCAGTGCAGAAACTAGGTCAAGATACCGTCGTATTAAGATTTAAGTAAAATAGTTATTTACAATATGTGTACAGTTGCGTAATTAAAATTTCGGGCAGTATTTTTCTGACAGTTCAAACTGTAAACTACCCTTTACTGTCATCATGACTTTTTTTGTTGTTAAAAGTGTTAATTAAACAATTTGTCTGTCTCAGGAAATTTATTAATTGTACTAAGTGTAATCGCTTTCCGCTTTGATCTGCTGCCTACCCGTTATTATGCCAAAAATCACTATTTTTGAAAGTAAATAAGTCCAAATGACATAAACATGACAAGAGTAAAAAATGAAGTTATTTATATAAAGGTTGTTTTAGAGTTTTAATTTTTTTTTAATTCCGCAACTATACCAAGCGCTTAATTTCCTAACAATTACGCCCGTGGTACATACAACGTTTTATTTTCTTTTAGAATGCGGTTTACTTTTGTGAAATATGAATTTAATATTCTAAAAAAAATCAACATAAACATAGTCGTCTATTTTGCCGAACGTATGTCATAAAAAAGCCCAAATAGATGCTTATAATAGTATATTATTCAACGAGCGTATACCGGGTGTCCCAGGTTGCCTGTCGCACCCTTATAACTTGGTTATGTCAGATAATATGAGCCATAAAGTATATATTTTCGTAAATCGCACATCAAACTGTATTAAATGGCGCCGTCAAACTGACGTAAAAATGACATGTGTTAAAATAACGACAGTCAACTGTTTTTTTTTTTTTTAAATAGGACGGTGTATGTTTGGTTACATATTTTAATAGAACATGTTTTTCTGAATGCGTGTATGCAGAAGTGTATGTGAAGTAGACAAGTTTTTGGATTACTTGAGTGAATAATAGCCATTATATGCGAGTAGAATACTAAGCTTTATCTACGACTATGAAATATTTTCGATTTTTGGTATTGACAAAGTTGAGGTTTTAATTTAATTAATAAAAATGTCAAATTGCCTTCAAAGAGTAGGCGATGGAATATAAATAGTGAAATATAGAGTATTATGTAACAGTTTTTTTTTTATAAATCATATGTTGCTTGTCAAAGCACAATCAGAGCAACATAAGATAACTTGGATTGCAAATGCAAATCGTAATTAAAATTAGATCAGAACGTAAATGAAATATGTTTTTTGGGTTGCATCGCCAGATCGTCAGGCTCATTATCTTATCTGAATCGCCCTGTACATAGCACTATGTATACAGTTAAAAAAACCGGGTCAATTTCATAAGTAGGCGACCAACATTTCAAGCTTTTAGAGGGTACTAGATATTAAAATATTTAAAACTAAAATTTTGTGTCAAGTTTGTCAAGTGTCAGTCTTGAAAATTAAAGTGCAGCTTTAAAAAGTTAATATCGGGACATATAATCCCATTGCATAGCCTCCACGGTCGCCAAACTTGGCACGTAACGATTTTTTTCTTTGGGGGTATTTAAAAATAAAAATTTATACTAATGTTCCAATGCAAAATTTAGAAGAGCTGAAAGAACGTATTCGTACGGAATGTAATAATATAGATCCTGAATTTATCAGGAATGCAGTGGCGGAGTTTTCAAAATCGCTTGGGTTACTGTTTGGAACTGCAAGGAAAACATTTTGAACACTTGCTTTAATTATTAAATATTTTTCATGTTTTGATGAATTTTATTTTTTTTAAATAATATTTAATAACATTTACTTTGTTGTTTTTAAAAGTTTGTCTTTTACTTATCGATATTAAAGCCTTTGGAATATTGGTTGCCTATGCCTAGACTAACGGCTAATCGTAATTGCGATATTAACATTGAAATTGACCCGGTTTTTTTAAAAGTATACATAAGGCTATGTATACTAATAAAAAATGAACTAAATTATGTGTCTACAGATACGCCTATAATAACATTATTATTCAAGAGTCGTAGATAAACAAGTTTTTAGTTCCAAAATACAATAATAATAGTATATTATTTTGCGAGCACATAATGGTGGTTATAATTCAAGAGAGTGATAAGTTTATACGCAAGCCAACGGCGAGTGTATAAATCATCCGATTGAATTATAGTCATTATGTGAGTCAAATAACTAGGACCTTTTTCATTTACACTTTCTACTTACAAAATTTATAATTAATATAATGGCAGATCTTGTATTAAACATCCTTGGTTGTTCGAAATCGGGTGATTCCAAATAAAGACCAATATTTAAGTGGGGAAAATCATTTAGATTTAAAAATCGTCAACGAACTTATGAAAGCTATTTTTGATTTAGTAATTTTGAGGACGAAGATTATTAGTAATACTATTGGTAAAAATTATTTTCATGCGTTATGTATGAGTACCTACTTATAATTTTTTAAAGAAAAACAGTGGTTTTGGACAAACATGTTTAGTGTCAAAATTCATTCACTTATCACGTCAGTTCACCACCAGATTTGGAACAAGCTCTATTACAAGAATTATAAAAAAAATTCTGTTACTCCCCCTTGGAAATGTTAATTTATATTACCCTAACGATATTCTTGTAATGATAATATTTGAGGAGCATTTACTTTAAACAACAAAAAATCCTATGTTTATATCCGAAAACGGTAAATAAATCGGTAAAATATTTTTGCGGAAAGAAGAAAACTTCAATTAAAACAGCTAGTTTATTACTGTAAAAGTACGAAATAAATAATTGACAGAGAATCTTAAAGAATCAATAGACGTCTTAAAACATTAGAACAGTACAAATAATAATTTTATAAAGTATATTACATAGGAATCTAACGCAATCCTACTTAATTGTTAAAATAAAGAGCTGAAAATACTTCGTTTAATATGTACATAATACAAAAATCGAGATAACTAAATTAATAGGACAATTTCCATACCACTGTCTAAAACCTAATACAACAGTCAGGTACCGCAAATAAATCACGCCTCACATTAACGCGGTGTCGGAGGCGGCGCAGTATAGTTGTAATACAACCCTGTAACACCTTGTGTTGGGGGCGGTGGCGGCGGTGCGTTAAAAAACATCGATCCATTGGACAAAGAGTAACTCCCGAACGGTGTTGGTGGAGGGATGTTTTGATACGACATCAAGGGTTGGGGTGGAGGCTGTTGTGAGGGTGCTGACTTGTTATTACGAGGACTACGATCCCTACTTATACTACGCGACTTCTTTCTCCTGTTTCTATCTCTCGATCGCGTCCTGTCTCGTCTTCCTCTACGAGGAGACCGCGATCTCGAGCGGGAAAGCGACCTGTGTGACAGCTGGTGGCCTCGGCCTCTGCCCCAACGATTGCGTCCTATTTTTAATTTATTTATAAAAACAATAAGTTTGGTAAGTCAGGACTTACCACGACCCGAATTGCCATTTGAGCCCCAGTTTCGATTATCGGCCATTTCTTGAAGCTTCGGATTGATTACTTGTTTGGCTTCCTTAAGAACGGACACCAAATCGGCCGCTTTGTTGGCGTTTGACGGTGTGAAAAATGTATAGGCTGTTCCGGTGCGTTGCGAACGCCCCGTGCGACCAATACGGTGCACGTAGTCTTCGGAATTGGACGGGTAGTCAAAATTGATTACAAATTTTACGTCTTCTACATCTGGAAAATTGGAATTGTTACAAGCGGTAGGTGGCTTATGATTGTTGTTGCCTCTTTAGTTTTACATAAAATTAACTGATTTGTTTCGAGAGAATCCACAATTCATCTCATAGGCCAAATTCATCACACTATTTCGTAAAATTATTGGAGAAAATAAGTCTTTAGTTGTTTTTTTTTTTTAGTAAAAGAACAATACGAATGCATTAGGAAAAAGGAAATTACTGCTTAAGAACCAAACTCTTATAAGTAGTACCGTTATAACACTTATAACATTTGATCTGTCCCACCAACATAAAATAGCCAATCACAGTTAAAGTCTGATTTAATATGTACAACAAACAAAATTAAAAACAAAACGAAAATAAAATTATTCCAAAACTTCAAAATTAAAGCCAAAATCACTGTCATTATTACTTTTCCCCAAACTGATAATAACTTTATTTAACGGTAATATCCTTTACATTAAGTAATAATAAAATTATAATAGAAAACAAGCACCATATAAACATAATTAAAAAATACTAAATGTCTAACTCAACGAAACTTTTAGAAAACACTTGAAACTATTAAAGGATTTAAAATTAAAAAAGTCCAACTTGGCACTGTACATGTTACAAATTCTTAAAAGATCATTTAGAGGAGAATTAAACAGATAATTATTATGAGCAAACGAAATTTTGAATAATTGGTTTGATCTACTATTATACTGTGGAACGTGAAAATTAATTAAATTTAGTATTGAAGTATCATAAATCAAATTATTTAAAAGTTTATAAACAAAACATAAAGCGTGATATGTTCTTCTAATTTCAAGTGTAAGAGACATATAATTTAAAGAAATATTGTCTTGCACATAATAAGGCAGCAACCATCTTATATATTTAAATTTTTTTAACTGTATTGTTTCAAGCCTACCAACATGAATTTTGTAATCTGGATTCCAGATTATGGAACCATATTCGAGGATTGAACGTACATGTGAAACATATAGCATTTTGATCGAATTAAAATTTCTAAACTTACGACAATAACGTTTTATGCGGCCAAGTGTCTTATTAGCTCTACAAATGATAAATTCAAGGTGTTGAATAAAAGTTAATTTACTATCAAGTAATATACCTAAATCTCTCACAGACTGTTTTACTATAATTTTTGTACTATTAATAAAATAATTCGGTAAGGTTGGAGAGATTTTCCTGCTGAAAACAATAGACTGACACTTTTCAACATTTAAAAACATTTTGTTATTTGCACACCAGTTTTGTAACTTATTTAAGTCAGATTGTAGTACAGACATGTCACGAGATTCCGAAACCTTTCTAAATATCTTAAGATCATCAGCAAATATACGATAATCACTATCAAAATTACATCCTATATCATTAATAAAAATAATGAAAAGAATTGAATAATAATTGAATCTTTTAGAAAACTGTCAGCACAACTGTGAGAATATCAAATATAAAAATACTACTCTAAAAAATTAAAGGAACAAAAAATTTTCCCAATTTTTTTTAGTAATTTTTAAAGGCTGTAATTCGTCAAAAAATGGTCGTATCTAGATTAAAAAAAAACATTTTGTAGCTTTAAGTTGCTAGTTTTGAGATCTTTTGGCAAATATTTTTTCTGTGCTACGGTTATCACGCAATTCTAATAGCACAAGAAGATAAAATTCCAAATTTTTATGTTGTTTGTTCTTGGTCCACGGACGTGAAGAATTTTTTGTTAGTGAAGTCAATTCATAGGCCGGATATCATGTTTGTTTACCTTTAATATGCTTTCTTCATATTCTCTTTATGATAATTTGTCGTTGAGATATCTGATTTTAAATGAAAAACGATCCTCTTGTCTTTGATCATCGATATCTCAGCAAGCAATGACTACACAGAGAATATAAGAGTTGTGTCAAAAACTGGAATAAATGTCTTATAAGGACCTTTTATGATTTTTTGGAAAATATTTTTTTTTCATCTTTAACATTGATTAAAGATAAAAGAGAAAAAAGTAACTTTTTACGTTGTTTTAGTAAATCTACCGCTTATTCACCAATATTGATGGGGAAACTAATGTTTTTAGGTGATTTTACAGCTTAAAGTATCCCCCACAGCCCTGCTAATTTTTAAATCGATCCATCAAACCGATTTCTCGAACCGATTGATCAAAGTTTTGCAAAAGAATTAAAGGAACAATTGCACATATTGTTTCTGAACATTGCCTAATCTTCATCAAAATAAAAAAAAAACAACAATTTTTTTCCGACTTGTTTACAATTGTGCATTAGTTATTAATTTTAGAGAAAAAATTCAAAAAAGTGTTTTACGATTTTTTTAAATTTGTAAAAAACTTCAAGAAACAATACTTATTAATTTTTGAAAAAAAAAGTCAAAAATATTAGTAAATACGCGGTAGATTTACTAAAACAGCGAAAAACTTATTTTTTTCTTTAAATAAATGTTAAAGGTAAAAAAAATATTTTCGAAAAAATCTTAAGAGGATCTTATAAGGCATTTATTCCACTTTTTGAAACTACCTTTATATTCTCTGTGTGGTCATTGGTTGCTGAGATATCGATGATCAAAGACAAGAGGATCCTTTTTCATTTAAAGTCAGATATCTCAGCGACAAATTAACGTAAAGGAAATATGAAAAAAGCATATTAAAGGTGAACAAACATGCTATCCGCCCTATGCATTGACTTAACTAAAAAAAAAATTCCCCACATCCGTGGACCAAAAACGAAAATATAAAAAAAAATGTCTCGCGCTATTACTTAGAATTGCGAGATAACCGTAGCACAGAAAAAATATTTACCAAAAGATCTCAAAACTAGAAACTTAAAGCTTCAAAATGTTTTTTTTAATCTAGATACGGCCATTTTTTCATGAATTACAGCCTTTCCTTTTGATTTTTTGGAGTAGTGTAACATTTTTCAGTTTAAATCTGATCGCCTTGAAGACATATTTCATTGATTGCTAAGAAAACCAATGGCCGGGGCAGATAAAAACTAATCTCGGCTCTAGTATAATAAATTACATAATAAGTAAAAATCAATAAATAAAGCAAATCACATATTTTTTTCACAATGGTTATTTCCTACAGACATTCTTTACTTTTTTTTTCAGTAAAATATATTAATTTATGGCTGTGGTATATTTTTCAGGGCCATTGCCGGCACTGGAGTCAAAATTCAGCTTGATCCAAGGTTTTGTGTAAGCTGCTTCATGAGGTTAAAAATTTGACTATAATCCATATGGTGGTGTACAAATATCACACATGTCAAGTTAAGAGAAGAGTTTTAAGTCAAGTGGTTAATACTATTGTAATTCGTTTGTTGGTCAACGATTAACAATAAACTATAAAGTTATGGCACTCGCTACGTTCGCAGCATTAGAATATTCGATTATTAATTGTTTTCATTAACAAACTTGTTGTCAAATAGCTATTAAACATAAGATTGTCCATTAATTACGACATTACAATATAGCGATAATAAAATCATTATTAAAGGCAACAACAATAAAAGAAATGGGTGTACATGAATGAAGAGAATGAGTATTTGTTTCGCAGATTGGTGGATGGTACATAATAGATAAATAAGAATATAAATAAAAAATACAAACACATATCCTACCTATGTTTGAAAACAAATTTGGCATCATAATCTGAAATTGATTTGATTGGTGTCTGTATAAAATGCATACCAAAACAGTGCATCTTTTCAATGGGAATGTCAGCAGTACAGTAAGGACCACGACACGAGTCCAGCTCACAGAGATGCGTCCAAGTCTCTATCTTAGACCTGGAGCGAGTGTCAGACGGACACTGCGCCTCGCAGCCAAGCCAACCCAAATCTGAGTCCGGCGTGGGGCAGCGTCGTCGAGTAGGCCCGCCCACGACCAGGTTATAGCCGGCAGTCCTAGACCACAGACTCCAACATGGCCGCCTTAGCGCACATTGATCGTCGTCCGATTGAGAGGCACAGCCACAATGACAATGATTCTGTCATTAACACGCTTGTGCCTCTGGAAAAAAGAGTAGTGGCCATTTTATAATCGCTATTGCTGATCATTGTCCCATGCACACTGGTCGACAGGCTAATATCAAAACTAACATCTAGTTACAACTAGATCGAACAAAAAAAATACAAACAAAACATACGACTCTCAATGCTATTAGCCTGCCAAACACGTTTGTTAAATCAAAAAGAAATTAGAAAATTAAACAAGCCAAATACGCCACTATACCACGTACCTAAACCCCGCGCTGCCACGTCCGTCGCCACCAGAATTGGGGCCTTACCAGTCCTGAAATCTTAAAGAAAATGTTGAAAATTAATCATGTATTATCATCATAATACATGGTGTTTCACACAACTTTACGAGCCTTGTACGCACCCAAATATACAAGATTCACAAAACACTAGATACAAAAATACACATTTATTTAATTATGTATTTAATTTTTGGAAACCCATGACAGTAGTTGTTAAAGTAATCACTGTTTCATTAATTGTCCTAAACTGCAGTTTTTCATAAACAATTATCATTTGTTCTATCAAGAGACGGCATTAATATGATTCTAGTTTATCTATCTTAATTACTAACTAACTAAAAATATTGTAATTTTTAAAAGGGTGAACAAACTAGAAACGATTATCCATTTTTTCAGTAATCGTGTTCGTATCGGAATATGTATATGCATCTTACAGGCGCAGGCCTCGTAAAATTATGTAAAACACCCTGTATAGAAAAAAAAACTTCACTAATAACAGTTAGTGAGCATTTTTTTTATTTATAAGTATGTATAATAACTATCTGATTCTGATTGTTAAAGAGCCTACATAAGAAACTTTTTAACTTAAAAATAACAATATAGCTTTGTTTGCGATAACAATCGACAATTCTTAATTTAACTAATTTTTTTTTTAATGGCTGAAAAATTCAAATCTTAAATGGAAAATACCCATTTTTTTGTAATTTGAATTCGCTTTCTCAAACCGAGTGAAACGAACCCAATTGCTGGTACTTGATCTGCCATAGTTTTTCACGTATGTCAATTTTTTTGTCAAAATTTTTATTTGCACGGGTCTATCTAAAAAATCACAGCTCTTGAACCTTTGCAATAAGTTAAATTTTTTTTTTTTTGATTTGAATAATTGAATGTTTGAAGAATCTTCTAAAGTAGCTCAAGATTGTCAATTCTAAAATTACAAGGTTAAATATGAATTTTTGAAAATGGTTATCAAAAAATGGCTAGCTCATTTTTTACTTTCCTTATCCTATAAGAAAAGTATTGTAATCGGCTGAAATTTGTCCTACCTATATTTTTACATTTCTGGACGAATTATAGCTTCAAGACACCAAAAATGTTGGTTTGGGCCATTGGGTCGTGTGTGTGTGTGTGTCTGTAAACAGCATATCTCGAGAACGATAAAAGCTAAAAAATTGAAATTTGGTATGTAAGTTACTTCTAGGAAAGGGACGCAGCACGAAACAATTGGTAAAAATCGGTCGCAAACACCAAAAATCGGCCGTAAAATTATAAGGTTGAAGATATTCATAGGAATAAAAATTATTTAGAATCATGAAATATATCTTATTAAACAGTAAAATGTGATAAAATAAAAATAATATTGGCTACCGAACTTAACCTCAGACTCGAACCCGCGACAACTATGATCTATTTCGCATGTACCGGTAGGTGGCACTAACGCAAACGTTAGGTTTGTTACTCAGATTTCCAACACCCTAAGGATGTTTTCCAAATAAGTAGGATAAGGCAAGTCGTTTGATGTTTACACCAGATTTTTTTTAAGTAGAATGATCTTTTCTCAATGGCAATCAAAAAAATATCGATTTTTATGAAGACTTTTATCAACATGTCCTATACCCATCGCTTGCAAATTTTGGAAATAATCACGAAAAACGAATTTTATTGCTTTATTTTCATAGTTAATCACTTTGGAAAATGGTCAGTGGTCTGATTCGAAAAAATTTAACTATCGTTATGCGAGAATATTTCACATTGAAGGCAAAACAGGTTCTTTGAATTATTCTGTCCTTTTGGCCGTAAGTTACAAATAGGTCTAATACAACTTGGTTGGTAATAATAAGCCATAATTATTATTGTTTTACTGCTTAGTCAATAATGAATAAGTTAAAAACTAATTAAAAGATCAAAATGTGGCAATAATAATTATTGACCATTTTCTAAAGTCAACTTGATTAACAATGAAAATAACAAGTTAATACCCGTTTTTCGTGATTATTTCAAAAACTGAAGGACATGCTGACAAAATGAGGTCTTGCTATTGGAAAAAACTGAGTTATAGCTGTTTTTTGATAACATTTTTTAAAAACCATATTAGCCTTGAAATTTGAGAGTACACTCTTGAGCTACTTGGAAGATTTTTCAAACCTTCGGTTATTAAATGCAATTTTTTTTCACATATTGCAAAAGGGTTCAAGGGCTGTGATTTGTTTAATGAACTCTGCAAATAAAAATTTCGACCAAAAAATTACATAGCGATGGTTAAGATGGTATCTACATATTTTAAAATATCTCGTATCCACATAACCATCAATATGTCAAAAACTATGACAGAGAAGTACCAACAACTTGAGTATGTTTTACTCAGATTGAAAAAGCAAATTCAAAAGTGCAACAAAAATGAGTGGTTTCCACTTAAATTTCAAAGTTATAGATCCGAAAGTTCAGCCATTTTGGAAATAATTCAGTTGAATTGAAAATGATCGATTTTGGTTACACACAAAATTTCAATTTGAAATGTATCTAATGTAGGCCCTACAAAAATCACCCTGTATGCTACTCGTATATACCTTGTAAAACCCAATCTCGCTCCTGTTGCGACTTGTCTCCATGTATGCAGACCGCTGGCCATCTAAAAACAAAAACTTACTGAAAGTATCACCCAAGGAACTATTACCTACCCATCACGTTTCATTTTTCTCGTAATCTCATCCACTCTCTTTTTAGTTTCAATAAAAATGATCGTTTTATTTTCCTTCTCTGCCATGATTTCTTTAAGAAGCGTACTCAATTTCGTCTCTTTCTCATATTCCTGACATACATCAATAATCTGAAGTATGTTATGATTTGCAGACAGCTGCAATGAACCTACATTTATCTGAATGTAATCTTTTAGAAACTCGGCCGCTAGGGCTTGAACTTCTTTAGGCCAAGTCGCTGACCACATTAAAGTTTGTCTGTCTGGTCTTATCTGTTCTATTATTTTACGAATTTGGGGTTCAAAACCCATATCAAGCATCCTATCTGCCTCGTCTAAAACTAAATATGTGCAACGTCTAAGATTCGTTCTATTACTTTCTAAGAAATCTATCAATCTGCCTGGAGTTGCTATGACAATTTCGACACCATCCATTAAATCGTTAGCTTGGGGTCCTTTTGGGGCTCCTCCAAAAACGCAAGTGTTGCGAATTTTAGATGAACGACCAAAGTCAGTTGCGACCTAAAGCAACAATTGTTTTGATTAAACAAAGCGACAAAAAAAAATCAAAAATTCCACTCTTTGAACTAAATATTTTTTTTCTAATGAATAAATGAATACTTTAACTTAAAAAAATCATTTCTCAATAACTATTAGGCCGATTTTCTTCAAATAAAGACCATTCTAAAGGGATGGACTTGCCCTTTAGAATGATATGCAATTTGAAATTGAATATTGGCAAACTATTCTTCGAACAGTGTTCCAAGAAGTTCAAAGTAAATCGAAGTAATTTAAGAAAAACCGAACGAGTAAAAAGTGTAATTATAAGTGACAATTTTTTTCATACACTAAAAATCCCATAAACCGCGGTGTTTTTGTCACTATGACAGCGACAAAACGGAAACTAACTTTTTAATTGTGTAATTAAATATTACACCTTATTTGTTAATTTAGTGATTTACGTATTCATATTCGTATTCTTGCCGAATTACACTCAAGCTTGTTTTCACGAAGAAAACTTGACATTTTTAATTCGAGTTTTGTTTCCTTAAGGCAATTTAACTCAAAAAACTGACAGAAAAAATTACTCGGCCTACGAAATCGTAATTTGTTCAGAAGCAGTTTTTTTCGTTAAATTGCCAGAAAACAAAATTCTCATTAAAATGTCAAGTTTACTTGGAAAAAAAGCTCTCGTTAATTTATTTATAAGTGAAAAAAGAAAAAACGTGCTAATTGTTCAAAGAAAGTCGATTTTGACAATCTAATGACGTTTATGTTATTTGTGTCAAGAAATGTGATTTTTTGTGTATGTGTAGTGTATTTCAGAATTGGCTGTTATTTGACTGTCACTTTTTTTGTGGGCGGTCCACGGATCTTTATTCGATGCAGCGCGACTATAAAAAATCTCACAGCTCTTGAACCTTTGCAATAAGTAAATTTTTTTTTTTTTGATTTGGATAATTGAATGTAGAGAATCTTCTAAAGTAGCTCAATATTGTCAATTCTCAAATTTCAAGGTTAATATGATCTTTTGAAAATAGTTATCAAAAAGGGCTATTTCAGTTTTTTTTAAGTAGAATGACCTTTTCTCAATGGCAATCAAAAAATATCGATTTTTATTAAGACTTTTATTAACATGGCCTATACCTATCGCTTGCAATTTTTGAAACAATCACGAAAAACGAATTTTATTGCTTCATTTTCATCGTTAATCAAGTAGACTTTAAAAAATATTTCATATGAGGGCAAGACAGGTTCTTTGAATTATTCTGTCCTTTTGGCCGTAAGTTACAAATAGGTCTAATACAACTTGGTTGTTATTATTATGGGGTTCCCACAGAAATTTGACAGCAAGAATAAACAAATAGGGGAATTTTAATTGATTTTAATTGTTTTTAATTTTATATGTAATTTGATATGTAATGGTAAAGTATATGGAGCAATGCTTGATTAGCAAACCTTAACTTCAAAAAATCATATCTTGAAAACTACTCGGTATATTATTTTAAAAATTTGGATTACAACTAATAATGAGATGCTCTACACGATGGTAATGATGAAAAAAAATTTACTCGTAGGGTTTTTCTTAGATTATTTCGATTTACTTCGAACTTTTTCGAACACTGTTCGAAGAAAAGTTTGCCAATATTCAATTTCAAATTGCAATCATTCTAAAGGGCAAGTCCATCCCTTTAGAATGGTCTTTATTTGAAGGAAATCGGCCTAATAGTTATTGAGTAATGATTTTTTAAAGTTAAAGTATTTTAAATTCATTTAAATTAGAAAAAAATTATTTAGTTCAAAGTGTGTGGACTGTGAACATTTTTTGTCATCTATCGTTTGGGATAGATGCTAAATTAATGCTGTTTTCTGTTTCACCGGAAATGACATCAACTTTATTTGTTTTTATTGGAAGACCCTGTATATCTTACCACTTTTGGATTCTTTGTTTAATAGTCTTTTAACAAGTTTTAGTACCATGTGCCTAAAACCAACCGTTCGTGAGATATGAGTCAATTAAAAATTTATTAAAGTAGGTAGTGGAAAACAATAATATTAAGTAATGTTGACAAATATTATTACTTTGCATTTTCTCTTATTATTTTTATACTTTTTGGTGTTCTGGTGATAATGTGTTAACAGACATGATTCAAGAATATTTTGAAAGCAATAAAAATAGTTGGGAGACCACAACGCCTTTACACTGGGCGGTTTCCAATAAGAGAAGTTCCAATTCGTCGACCTGAAGAAAATTTGAGGATGTTTGGGGTTTTTAAAAAAACCCAAATTAGAACAGTTGCGTGCGGTAAGCCAACGTTACTTGCAATTTCTTGAATTCATGTTCTTGCATTTTCTTCAATACCTATCTAATTCTGTATCTCTTTGAAATTGGAGGTGTTTTAATTTGGGTTTTCTAAAAGCCCAAAAAATCCTCAAATTTTCTTTAAGTCGCTTAAATTTTCGACGATTTGGAACGTCTCTCATCAGAAATCACCCAGTGTAAAAGCGTAGTGCTCTCCCACAATTTTTATTTTATTCAATATATGTCTGTTAACACATTATCATCCATGATTAACATTAAAAAGTATAAAAACAGTAAGAGAAAATGCAAAGGAATAATATTTGTCAACATTACTTGATATTATTGTTTTCCACTGCCTACTTTAATAAACACATTATTTGGTGAATATCTCACGAACGGTTAGTTTTAGGCATATGGTACTAAAACTTGTTAAAAGACAATTAAACAAAGAATCCAAAAGTGGTAAAATATACAGGGTGTTGCAATTAAAAAAAATAAAGTTGATGTGATTTCCCGTGAAACAGAAAACAGCATTAATTTAGCATCTATCCTAAACGATAGATGACAAAAAATATTCAACTTTGTTCTAAGAAGTTTTGTCATAAGTTTAAAAATAATGGAGTTATGGCTTGGGGCGTTTTTCATAAAACAGCCTGTATAATTTGTCAAGTTGTCACGACATGAATTTTTTTTTTGTCGGCCAGTGTTATGATTAAATTTCGACAATTTTCAAACCTGTTGTATCTGCTGTGCCAGCTCTCTCGTGGGTGCCAACACCAACGCAATGGGTCCATCGCCTCGCAATAACCTCGGCTGATGGTTGATGTGTACGATCGCTGGAAGGATATACGAAAGCGTTTTTCCAGACCCTGTTGAAGCTATTCCAACCATATCACGTCCCGATAATGCAATAGGCCATCCTTGCGACTGTATAGGTGTCGGATGTTTAAAGCCCATTTTACGAATTTCGGACATAACGTAGTCTGGAAAACCAGCTTCCTCGAATGTAAACACTAAATCTGGGATGCATTTTCCTTTCAGAGTAATCTCTTTGTCTCTTCGCCATTCTTCCACTTCGTAGCTTGGACGGTTTGTTACGTTAGGATGTGGTACATAGAAGTCTTTTTTGAACGGTTCAAGACGGCTTAAATCCCAGCGGGGTTTTCGTAAGTTAGCACCGGCGGTGTTGCGGCGTCCACCGCCGCCGTAACCGCGGTCGCGGCTCCGCGAGCGACGACGATCTCGGCTCCTCGATCTAGCAAGTTTAAATTTGGTTAAAAGTTTATATACAACTGAAAATATTGTTTATTCAATAAACAACAGTTTCAAAAAGTAATTTGTAAACATAAATTTAAAAACCAATAGACAATAATATAAAAAAATATTAATCCAACGAGGATTTATTTAGATCATGCTGTAACGAAAATAAGTACATTTTGTTTTAACCAGTGACAGGGTTCTACAAAAGTAATCTTTCTAGCAATGGCGAACTGAAAATTTCCAAACGTGTCAAGTGTTGATTATTTAACAATTTTAACAAGTTTAGCCAAAAAAAGAAGATTTGATCAGCAAAAAATACGTAAAGCACTCACGAAGACTGTATTTTGCATCACGGTCAAAAAAAATGGGACCTCAATGTTGATATTAAATACAAAGTGTTTATAAAAGACCAAAAAACTCTACTACAGTGGCGGACACGGAATTAAGGACATAAAATTTATGTCAGCTCAAAGAATGTCAATGCAAGCTACGCTTTATTGTCATTATGATTGACGTTTGGAACTAAAATTTGAAATTTTTAGTTGAAATTTATTTTTGGCGTCGATTTTCCGAAACAAAAATGCCAGCAATACGTGTTTTTATACAGTGCGATCAAAAAGTCTTTCTATCAAGTAGGCGTCCTAGTTGAGGACGTATGTTGCATGGCAGTTCGTATTTATCTAGATGTCAAAAAATATTTTATAAAAATTAAAACACTAAGCTAATTGAATTGAATTATTCTATGAAACGTCTCAAAATATCCTAAAATGAGATTTTGTTGGTGTTTATTCATAAAAATCGTTCACCACGGTTTCCTGTTATAATTTACATAAAAATTATTTTGACATTTCTCATTTGTCATTGTGACATTTTATCTTCCACAGACATACGTTTTAAATTTCTACGCTTGCTTGATAAACAGACTTTTTGATTTCACTGTATAAGTTCAATAAATTATTTTGATTTGTTGTCATTTTTTCTCTAGCTGTCAGGATCCAAATTACAAAAACCGAAAGTGAAGTTAGTTGCCTAAGGCCCGTTTTACATTTTTATGTCAGTAGAATGACAAATCGTCCATAATTCCATGTCCGCCAGTGTATGTCATATAGAAAAAAACACCATGGAATGTGACAGAATGGCGATAGAATTGTTACATATGAAGAGTAAAAATTTCGTAAACATATGTCATGCATAGACTGGTACACTTAATGAAATGCCAAACCTTTAATGAAAAACACAGTCCGATCTAAAAGTCTATCCATCCAGCAAGCGTAGAAATTTAAAACGTGTGTCTCCAGAAGATAAAATGTCACAATGACAAATGATGAGAAATGTCAAAATAATTTTTATGTGACAGGAAACTGTGGTGAACGATTTCTATGATAAACACCAACATCTCATTTTTTGAGACATTTCATAAAATAATTCAATTTGCTTAAAACAATTTTTAAATTTTTATAAAACAATTTTCTGACATCTAGCTAACATACGAACTGTCATGCGACATACGTCCTCAACTATAGTACGCCAACTTAGTACAAAAACTTTTTAATCGTACAGTGATGGACAGTGAATTTTGTCCGCCCAATTTCAGTGAATTCACAAAAATTCACTGTAGTCTGTGCTTTATTGTCATGATAACTGACATTCAAATATAATCCGTTTTTTTTTAAAGCGTGGCTTACATTGATATTTTTTGAACTGACATAAATTTGATGACCAAAATTCCGTGTCCGCCAGTGTACGTTCATAAAATTTTCACAACACCCTTGACATACGTTCTTTTATAAACATATTGTATGGTATAAAACAGCCTTTTTATAGACTGCACTTGATGTGATGTAAAGTCTGTTTTCTTTTTAATGGAAATGCCAAACAGTCTTAAGTCTTTAAGTCTAGTAAATTCATTCATGGTAATTTTAATAAAGGAAGTTGGCAGTTCCGGTTTTTTGAATTAATTTGAAAACAATGTCATTAAACGTCAACACATAAAATAGTCTAAGAAAATTTAGAGACGAAACACCAAAAAAGAAACAAATTCGGTACACTAACAGTTTTTCGAAATTTGGAAACGAATAGTTCGCAAGCAAGAAGTTAGAAAAAGGACCCGTTAAAAAGTAGACGCAATTTGTAATGCAGGTTTGCTAAACATTCTCAATTTTTAGCAAGAAATTGACAAGAATACAAAATAAACATGAATGAGAAAGAACCTCGGAAAGAACGCAATTAAAAAATTAGTGTCTTGTGTTTTTGAGAAACGAGTTGAAAAAGTAACAATTTTGAAACTAAAGCTAAAGAAGAATTTATAAAATGCATCAACTTTGAGCTTATTTTAATAAATAACACAAAATTTATTGCCAATCATCATAATACCTACTTGTACCTTTTGCTAAATAACTTTTTTCTGTATAGACATTCTTTTTCATTAAAGTTTTTGTAGCAAGAACCTCATTTTTGTCCACAACATTGTACCTACTTGCAATGTGTTTCTATTAAAATTATTAGCACTGAATTCTGTCTTTAAATCTTAGGTTAAGATGTCTGTCCTCAGGTATTCAATTATAGCGCTTTCAAAGAGCAAACAGGCACACAAGATTCATAAAAGTCAAAATTTTGACAACATCTCAATTTGAAAATATAACCATAATTTTTTTAAAAAATTTCTAATTTGTGGCTATGGAGACAAGCTGCTACCAATTTTTTCACCAAAATTTTGACTTTCCATTTAAAGAAAAAACAGACTTTATTAGTTGTCAATGATTTTCATGGAATTTTGAAAGTTTTGTAGTCAAAGACTGCTTTACAGCAAATTTTTTGTTCGCAATAAAACTGCATTCTATAGTGATGCACTATTGTGAGATTTTTCTAGAGAAAAAAATATTCGAACTTTGAATTTTTATCCTTTAATTGTGGCAAGCTCTAGCTTTCAATCATGAAAATAATATGTAAATTAAAGTCAAAATTAAGGGAAATCCATTTGCAACAGAAGTGAATTGTTATTGTGACACACAACTTTCGACCCTAACAAAGCCTCAAGACTTACCTTCTTCCAGAACGTCCTCTCATCGTCTTGAACTCCTTAACACTTATTGTAAATCGATCCAAATTTAACCACAATTTTTATAAACAATAATTTTATACAACAAATTGCCTATCAGACATCTTTAAACAGCAAAGATGGCGTCAATAAAAAACAACAAATCAGAAGAGATCTTATTGATCCAACTTGAGTAGTGGGGGAACGAAATGCACACGAAGCGGCAAATTCAAAACTAATTGTGTTACAAAAATGTATTTTTTACATATACAGCGATTCGGTGAAAAGAAGACAACAATGCTAATATTATGCTTAAAATAAATAAATAGTTTGGCACAAAAATCGTGACTAGTTTAACATGTAAAATAACAATTATGTATTTAATTACCTCAACAAAGAGACAGTGATTCAAACTGAACTGCTATTATAAATAATTAAAACAACGTAGCTTTTTTCAAAAAGTCTGATATTTTACTAACCAACTGACACAAAAAATTTAAACTAACAATTGAGATCTAGTTTTCTGGTTTAAATAAAATAACATCTTTTAACAAGTCAGCTTTTTTGAAACAAATAACAGTTGAGTTTGATCACTCTATATACAGGATGTCTCAAGTAACACATTCGCAGTATTCAAAAACTAGTACCCCTATTTTGACAAAAGTACTTTGTAACACAAGGCGAGTGTTACATTGCACGTGTTTTTTAAATTTTTCTGTTTTTTTTTTTCAACTTCTAAACTGTTTTATACAGTGCGATCAAGCAAGTGTAGAAATTTAAAACGTATGTGGAAGATAAAATGTCACAATGACAAATGAGAAATGTCAAAATATTTTTTTATGTAAATTATGACAGGAAACCGTTTTGAACAATTTTTATGAATAAACACCAACAAAATCTTATTTTAGTGACGTTTCATAGAATAAATAATGTTTTAATTTTTGTAAAATAATTTTTTGACATGTAGATAACATACGAACTGCCATGCAACATACGTCCTCAACTAGAACGCCTATTTTTTGATCGCACTGTACCACGTAACTGCGTTTTTGGGGTGAAATAGGCAACAAAAGAGTGAATTTCAAAAGGAACAATTGTGGTAAAATACGAGACAACCTGTATGCTCATGCATATTAATAATACGTGGAGTAATGATGATAAGGTGTGGGTGTTGGGGAGGAGACATGAGGTCTCGGAGCCAGAGGTGTAGGATGATAGGGACTTTGAGACACCGAATACCCGCTAAAAGCCGGAATTGGCGACACAGCCCCACCTGGAGTCGTAGGTGCCAAAATCCTCCCATCACCAATTAATCTACTTTCCTCCCCCAATAACCTCTGATCAGCGCCCAACAGATCATTATTCGCCAAAATTCGATTAGTCGTATGATCAGACAAAATCCTACCACTCAGATCAGAACTCAACAATCGACTCTGATCGAGCAAACGATGAGGAGTGTGCTCGGAAAGTAATCGAGAGTTCGCAATTTGGTGTAACGGATGTGTACGTAAACTCAAATCGACACTATGACGTCCTGGGGGGGTTAAATCCAGCGACACGACTCGGAGAATATCAGCATGGGTGTATGGCGGTGCTGGGGGGCTATAATTGAGTCTTAAGTCGACTCGATCCACGTCGGGGTATAAATGATGGTAACGGTTGATGTTGGAGTAGTTGTGGAAGCTTCGTGCTGACATATCTAGCCCTTGAAGTTCCGAAGAATTGAGAACTAGAGGTTCGAAGTTACGATCGGTGCGAAACTCGGAGTCTATAGCACTGTCGTACGCCTTACGATTTTCAATGTTATCAATAATATCGTAGTTTTTATTTCTAAAATCTAAATCGTTGCTTGACTCGTATAACCCCCTCGATCTTAAATTTTCACTCTCAACGTCGTAACTTTTAAGTCTTAGATCGAGATCAATATCAAACTTACTTCTAATATCAGTAGAGAGATCATCAGGGTATTTATTACGTTCGTTGCCTTTATCTTCTTGATTTATCGCTTCGACTTGTTCACTCTCTAGAGGGTTATTTTCTTCGACGTAATTTTTACTAGTCGAATCCACCCCTAAGTCATAAACTTTACTTTTATCCATAAAATCTTTCCGATCTTGGAAATTGGGTGTTTTATAAATCGACAAATCTAATTGAATATCGTGTTTGGAATGTAAACTTAAATTTTGGGCCCCCATTCCATTGCTATCATCGGAAGATAAGTGATCAGCGGTGACGGAATGCCCGAAATCGTATCGTGGGGGGCTGGGCACCGGAACCGGGGACATGTTTTTCGGCCCAAAACTCTGGTTTTGGGGCGATAGAGTGTTGATATAACTCCGGACAAAGTTAGTTCTCGGGTGCATTTCCGGGCTGTTCCCCGGACTGAAATCCTCCTGATGGAACCCGGAATAATCCATTCCGATGTTCTGGTTGTGTCTCAACTCATCGTTCAGTTCGTCTGTTACGGAAATATGGTCATTGACTGAGGGCGAAATTAAATTAATGTCACGGGGCTCACTATAGGTAACGTCGGGTAATGTGTCAGAAGGGGCCAAAGTGTATAAATTATTAACCAAAGCATCGGTGCAATTCGGTGTTGTACTGACGTCGATGTCGATATTTGGTTCACTACAAACCGAATCCAAAGCTGCTTCTACTAGAAGACTAGCGTTTGAGGCCTCGTGTCGTGTGAAATCGTTAAGATTCGTGGGTTTTGTACGATCGTAGTTTTCTTGGTAAATGTCGGATTTGAGGGGCTGCAGGGGTGGGTCACCAATCCATTTCTTGGAACCTTTACTTAGAATTTTCATTGTTGCATTTACGTTGTTCAAGTTGTAGGATTCTAAATTTGGGGAGTTCCTAGGGTTAGGTTCGGGAGAGTGGTCGTCTGTGGTTTGCATCGGCGAGTTGGGTAATGACGGATCATCCACATTTTTGCTATCCATACCTAAATTTGAAACTTAATTTTTGAAATACTTCCAAATGACTTACTTGTGTCATCGCCGTCACTCTCCTCCTCTAAATGATTCGCATTTGAATCACTTTGTTGTGTATTTGTCAACTCTGTTTTGTTTTTATCGTCTTGGTCCTCTAATCCGCTGTAGGCCTCGAAAGTGTAGTCAATGCTTCGTTCAATTTTAGGCATGGCGTCCTCGCTGAAACTGTGAACTTTTTTATAGTGGAACTGTAGACACTGTTTCGTTGTAAATGCCGCATTGCAACTCTTCACAACACACCTAAAATTGCAATCGTTACAATTTTACAACTGTGACTAAAAACCATACTTGAAGGGTTTGATCCCACTGTGAGTCAACATATGTATTTTTAAATTTGATTTATTTTGAAAATGTTTGCCACATCGGGAACAAGAACAAGCACCGTCCATTTGTTTCTGGTGAACTTCTTTCAAGTGCCTTTGCAAGGCTGCTCTCGAACCGAGGATTTTCAGACAGTTTTTGCACTGAAACTCCTTCAAAACCTCCGCGAAATCTGAAAAATTAATCAAGTCAATTAAGGAATTGCAAATTTTTAAATAAACGCAGGCGCTATAGAATTTTTATTTATGGTTCAATTTCAAAAATTAAAAAACTAAATTAGATGGCTTTGGGTATAGTATAAGCTCACAATTTTAGAACTTTTCTAAACGTAATTGTGTATTTTAGGCTATACAGGAGGCGCCCCAGAGAAAAATTTCAAGTAAGAAGGAACATGGAAAAAATGTTTAAATATGTTTTTTTTTACAATTATTTAGTAAAGGAACAAAAATTTTACCAATAAAAGCCACAAACAACATTGAACAGAGTTACAATTTAGGATACAGCTTCCTTGTTTCCTCAAAAAAACTTGGAAAATTATTTTTCCAACAGAAATAAATAGAGTCAAAGTGCAAACTTTAAACCCTCATAACTTCGAAATTTTTATAGATAATTTTTTAACATTTTTTCCATGTTCCATGTTCATGTATCTTACCTCATATGGCATTTTTCTCTGGGACGCGAATTCTGGCGCACCCTGTATAATTTTCTCTATGATCTATCAAGGTAAAAATTTTACTTTCTTGGGAGGTAATGAAATTAGAGTAGAAAAACTTACTTTCTATTAGGGTCGTAGGAAAATATACAGGGTGTTTCATTTTTATTATTACAAATTTAAACAGAAGAATAATCAATTTTAAGGCAAAAGTTTCCTATGAACATGTATCGAAAAATGCTATGCAAGGAAGCTACACCCCTTCAAAGGGGTCTTTTAATGGGTTTTTACCAATATTTTCAAAACCATTTTAGATAAAATTACAAAATTTGGTAGAGATAACAACCTATACACACTTAAACGAGTTCCTAAACTGGGGAGGGTTAGAGTAAAAAGTACTCTATAACGATTTCGACTTTAGTTTCTTGCCACTTTTAGCAAAAAAATTCTAAATTTCGTAGTTTTTTTTTATAAAAAAAGGTCTTTTGTTATGTTACAAACCATAAATTATTTTTCCAAAAGAAATAAATAGAGTCAAAATGCAAAATTTAAACTCTCATAACTTCGAAATTAAAAAAAAAATTTTTTACATTTTTTCCATGCTCCTGTTATCGTATCTTATGACATTTTTCTCTGGGGCGCGAGTTCTGGCCCACCCTGTATTCAACGTGCTAATTTTAAATAGAAACCAAATTGTTTTTTTTTGTAGTTTGGAAGATATTTCTTTTCTTGGTTCAGACATATGCAATAGTTCTATTTTTACTAAATATTATTGTTTAAAAAAATAAAATTAAAAAAATCTAGTTGCATGGTGTGATGTTAGCAATAGTCTAAATAATAATTAATCACACTAAAGTAGATATTTTTCTGATTTGTTACAGATAAAGATTGTCATTTCTTATTAAAAATTTGAAAAAATATTGGCAATATCTTCTTTCATTTGCTACTTTTTGATAGTACAATAATGGCACTGTCTTATTTGACATCATGCAACTCGATTTTCTTATTTTTTTTTCAATTAATTTTGATATTTTTTTTAACAATAATTTCTAGTAAAAGTAAAATATCGCAAGAAAATTTAATACCTTCCAGATTATGAAGAAAAAAATATGAGTTATAGAAATATACTGACATTTAGAAAAATTCTAAAATTGTCAGCTTATACAACTAGTGTTGCATTAAAAACCATTTAATTAATTTTTTTAATTTTTGAAATCGGGCCATAAATAAAAATTTAACAGCGCTTGCCGTTTTTTTTAATTCACCCTGTATGTATATGAAAATACTGTAAGAAAATGTCAGATTTCCAGTTTTTGACCTTGTCTTGGTGGTTTTAAGAGTATTCTGTTAAGTAATTAATAGAGTAACGAAACATTTAAGGGCAACCATAAAGACAAAGAAATTAAAAAAAAATCGTCTCCAAAACACAAAAATTGCTCAAAATTGGTGAAAAACAACCTACATCGACCAAAACTACTTAAATATTTTACGTTTTTCTACCTTGTTTACACAAAATACTCTCTGGATTATTCATTAGTGCCAACTTAATTTCAGTCATACCCACTTTAGAAATTTAGTTAAACGAATGGTAAAATAAGACACATTTTGCAAATGTCTATTTTTGCTTCAGAAACAAGTACCCACCACTATGCATTCTTTTTATGTGAACTTTCAACTTTTGGGGTTGACAAAATTTCCGTCCACAGAAGTCACACAAAGGCCTAGATCGGTGTGGGTTAGCAGAACATCCATAAGTACGATGCATTTCTAGATAATTCAGTCTTAAAAAGAACTAAAAACGTCCATTAATTAACATGTTACAACACTAATTTTGTTACCTTTTTACAAAATTGGCACTGATAAGCACCCTGCCCATTGTGCAACTCGGCCGCATGTTTCATAATATTTTCTTTTCCTAAAACTGCTGCGCCACATACTTTACAATGGTACTTCCTAATAGTAAGGCTGTAACGAACATCATGGAATACTGAGCAATGCGTTCGGTAGTATAAGGGATGAGCAAAAGTCATATTACAACCCCCGCAAGCTAAAAAGTGAGTATTAAATCGTTTTAATTAAAGTTGCTCAAAATTTACAAGTTTTTTCCATTTTCTTCTTGCTACTAGCAATGGTGGAATCTTGCCAGTATAACAACTCCTCCCCGTTTTTTATCGCTTTTGTACTAACAAAATAGAGAGAACTTTCCTTTGTCACCGCAGTGATATTCTTATCATCTCTTGTAGGCGCAGGTCGTACAAACCTCATCCAATTTGATGTTTCCAAATTTTCGGTACTAAAATAAACATTCCCATTTTCACCACAAATCTCCCAAATATCCCTCATATTAGAATCTTCCGAAATGTCCACTTCTTTGACCACTTTTCCAACAAGGGGGCCAAACTGAGTGAATTCCTGAATGTCGACTATTGCCCACACCCCCAATCCATGTTCAGTATTCGTCTCCATAAACTGTAGAAAGCTGGGTAAAGAAACATTAGCAAAAACAAATTTATTTGCTTCATCTTCTTTTTCAGATTTGACAAATTGACTTTGAAATTTCTCTTCCCAACTTGGCAAATCAATAGAATCAGATATGACAAAATTGGGGTAACTCAAAGGACACTGATCCTGGATGTGGTGAGTACTGCAGTTTTGACACAACTTAATTTTTATGGCTACTCTGCTAAGTTCCTGCTCTGGTTTTTGAGATTCCAGTTTATTGTCATTTTGTAAATCTAGTTCTGGAGCTTTCCTTATGTCATGATCGAATTTCTTCTTTGATTCTGTTGATTTTTCTTTTTTTGTTGGTTTATCAAGGTTGGTTGAAGTTTTCTTCTTTTTTATTTTTTCCTCTTTTTCTACTACACTTTTCTCACTAGACTTACACTCTGTTTCTTTTTTATGCAAATTTAAATCATTTGTTGGATCAATTTTATCACATATTGGTTGAGTTATAATATCAGCATGAAGGAGAACAGGTTGTTTGGTCACATTTTTTAAAGTTGTAGTATTTTGTGTAACAGGAATTAAATTCACTTTATTCTTTTCCTTTTTCGTCTCAGTCTTTTTTCGTTTATTCTTACTAATTTGCTCCTTATCTCCTTTCTTGAAACTCCCATCTTCCTCCTTATCTTTACAAGGATTACTACAAAAATAAACATTTTGATTTGTCTATTTGTAATATACAGAGTGTACCAACTAAGACAAAATGTGTCTTAGTAATCAAAATACAGTTTTCATATTAATGTGCATCGAAGTAGTCGTTGAAAGGGATCATTTCAAGGTAGCAATCATACAAAAAAACAAACAATCCTAACCTCAAATTTCCCTAATAATTATTTTTTCAAAAAAAATAGAGGTAGCAAAAAATAATTAAAATTAACAATGTAATTAATATAAGGTAGCAAACATAAAGATTTTTGTCATTATTATTGTGCTTAAATTTGTTCTGAATGACATATTAATGACATTTTTTGTGTAAATCAGCCTTTAAGTTAAAGATTCATTTAGACTACTACAACCTACTTGATGCACATTAATATGAAAAATAGTATACAGAGTACGCCAGAACTCGCGCCCCAGAGAAAAATGGAACATGGAAAAAATGTTAAAAAAATTTGATCTATAAAAATTTCGAAGTTTAAAGTTTGCACAGTTGGATAAAATAAAATACAGCAGAAATCAAATAAAGCACAATAAAAAATGAGTAAAAACAAGAAAAACCTAGCAAAACGAGGAAATTCAGCCTTGTTAACAATTATGTTGGTAGCACTGGCTCTTGTTTGTGAATATTGACTAAAGATAAACCAGAAAAGTATACTTACAAAATAAAAATTAAAATCAAATTAAAAAAGGAACACAGAAAAGAATAGCAAAACAAAACAGAACTAAAAAAAGTATAACAAATAAAGGAATAAAACTAGAAAAAGAGAGAATATGAAAAAATTAGCAAAAATGAAATAAAAGAAACAAAACATCAAAATAGAGAAAAAAGAAACTAGAAAGAGGGGCAGCAACAGAAACAAAAAAAAAGAAAAAAAAAAAGAAACAAGAATAAATCCAAATAAGGGAACTCCTAGAATTGTAATAAGAACAAAACAGAATAAGTAGAAAAAAAAATTATAAGAAATTTGAGTGGTAGATAGTTGTAGAAAGTAGAAAAAGAATTAATTCTAGCAATTGATATCAAAAACTAGAATTGTAATTAAATGAAATAAAATTTTTAAATTTAGACATAAATTTAATAAAAAAAACCTACAATAAGCAAAGAAAACTACATAAACAGTAACAAATATCGAAAGAAATACTGAATAAAAAAGAAATAAACTAAACACAAACAAAAACGCAGAAAAAAGTCAAAATAAAAAATTAAGCAACTAGAAACTAAAATCAAAAGAAATTAGAAAAATAGCAAAACAAAACAGAACTAAATATAAACAGTAAATAAAGAAATAAAAGTATAAGGAACTCATAGTAAAAAGCAAAAGGGGATAAAAATTTAAAACAAAATAATAACTTTAGTGAAATGAAAAGAGAGTGGGGCGCGAGTTCTGGCGCATCCTGTATTCAAATCTCTTAATTCTGTTGGTCACCCGGTATATTATAAAACTGGGAACTTTAAATTAAAAGTTTACGACTTTGAAGTAATGTTGATTTTATTCAATAGCAAGGAAGAATTAAAAAGTGAAACATTTTGAATGAAACTGCAATTATTCAAAAAACGTAAACAAAACCCACGTGTTGTTATTATTGATCCGTCAAAATAAGCTCCGCCCCCAAGATGTCGTCCAGTGTTTAATTGAAAATAAAAAGCAAAATACGCACACAAAAAAGAAAAAGTCACTCAAAGTCGACTAAAACTTACCGATTTAAGTACTCTTGTGCCAAATCCAGCAAAGTAGTGGCAAAGTTTTCGTTAGTTTCACAGGAAAAAGAAGCCTTGAGAAGATGCCATCGTTTGACATTTGCAGAACCAACCGTCAGCTCTAGTGCGATATCCTCGTCAGTTTTTGACACGTTTGATTTATTCTTGACACAATCACTTGACACTTGTTTGTTTACGTCTTTTTGGAACTTTTTGGACATCGCGTAAATTCCCATAAAGAGGATAGACCATCAAGAGTTCTATCCTCTTTAAGCCAAGGACATTTCGTGACGTCACATGGCGCCAAGTTAAAATTTATGATCAATAAAACACACATGAACTTGAAATCGACAATATTCCTGTCTTTGTTCAAGGACAAATGGCCTGAAAGCTGCAAGTTTATTAATTGTTTGGCAAGTCAACAATTATTTTCACATAATTTACTATTCTCTGAAACAAGTTGGCCATGATATTTGACATCTGTAATATATACTTATATTTTTTATAACCTTCCGAAGTTACTACATACAAGTTGTAAAACCAAATTATTGTTATTCATATTGTTGACTTGAAAATTTTAAATAATAAAGTATTAAACAAAAAGGCACATCAAAATTTCACTGTCTTTGCTAACGTTCACAAAATTATTTCACTTGATATTTCTGACTAGTTGGTTGCAAACATTCAGGCGTTTATACAAAATTAATTTTTTTTATAAAAATAACAAAGACACAAAACATTTTGCAATTACAATTTCAATCAAATTTTAATTCACATATACTAAAGCAACTATTTTTAATATTTGTTTTGTAAATAATAATTTTTACAAAAAAAATGGACATTACCAAACTGAAGAAAAAAATTTGAATGTAAATACTCGCATTGAAAATGTTTATTAGTTTTTGGGTGTTATAACACAACAAAAAAAAACACCTATACAGAGATGATATTTACAATAGAAGAAAACTAATACGCTATATAAAACAAAACTTGTACGTTGGAAAGGAAATAATTCATTTTTAGTATCATTACCTTGTGTTTCACTGTAAATCATAATCACGACAACCAGTTTATTATTTTAATATTTTTTGCCATCCCTGTTCATAAATTTGGAAAAAAATTAAGAAAAACGAATCAAACCTATTGGAAACCAGTTCCCTAGAAGAGATTAAACAGAAGATTATCGAATTTTTACAAAAATTAAAGCAAAAGCAAATCAAATGATGACAGTGTCAAAACTATTTCATTGTGATGGATACTATTTTTTTATTTGTGACCCTCAACTCAAACCGTGTGCCAGTATTCAACACTTAAGAAATCAAGTCATTTGTTGTTTTTGACATAGACAGAAAATTAGAGTTGGGGTTACTCTGATGTTTTTAATGAGAAAATTTAAGTCTTTTTTATTTGATTTTGCATTAATTTCATCTCGATATACTTTCATTAGTGCTTGTGATGGCAATAGTTTTCAATAATAATATTCTGTAAATATTTGTAATGTAATACCCTCTAACATCGACATTTACCCACCTCTAACCCATTATAGCCCTTGGTCTATAATGAAAATGCTTATTGATTACTAACTAGTAGACTTCAGAACCTCTCGATGAAATTAAATAATGGTAACTTTTACAGCTAGTAGTGAAAAAAAAACCTATTTTCTCCATTAACTTAGTTTCATTTATTGTTTTTGTAAAAATTATGTTAATTTTATAAAAAAAATTAATTTTGTATAAACGCCTGAATGTTTGCAACCGACTATTCACAAATATCAAGTGAAATATAGGGCGGTGAAATTTTGATGTGCCTTTGTGTAAATACAATACTTTATTTGCAATTTTAAATTAACAACTTGAATAAGTTTTACGATAAAATAACTGATTTCGGAGTTATAATTATAAAAAAAATAAACATAAAAAATGCACAGTGAAATGATTTTATGGACAGTCGGCAGAAGCTGTCAGTTGTCATTTTACCCAAGCACATGTGCGTTATTTAAATTATTAACTTAAGAATTATGGCAAAATTGGGCGCATATTACGGCTTGTGCCCCCTAATTGACCACCGAAGTTTATTAGGAATCGCCAAAGAAACAAACGGTGTTGTTATTGTCACATTGGGCAAAAATATCGCTGTCAAATACAAGGTTAGGTTATACAATTTTCATTATTAATTTAATTAAATTGACACTGTTAATAGCTTTCAGACCAAAAGCAGCTTCACAGTTGGCGCACGAAAGAGAAGTTTAGCTCCTCGATCATCTACGACAAGGAACAGTCAAGATATGTGGCAGTATTCAATGAAAACTTACTCCGGTTTTGGAGCGGAAATGAGGAATTTATTGATAAGTTAAAAAAGTACAAGGTAATAGTGTTTTTAATGTAAAATCTGTGTAACATCGTTCCATTTGTTGCAGTTTAATCAACAAATCCAGACAATATTCACTTGTAATGACCGAAGCTTTGTTGTATTTAAAAATGGGGCTGTTTTTGTGCTAAAAGACGCAGTGGAGAAACGCAAGGAGTTGGCAATTGAGAGTGTTATCGATTTAGATTCTGAATTTATATACGAAGTGTTATATGCCAACTTCAATAATTGTGTTTATGTTGGTTTAGTTGTTAAAACCACTGACAACTATACTTTATATTGGACAAAGTTTGTGGGGGACACTCAGGATGGATTTTACAAGATTTTTATCACACGAGAGAAAGCTGATTTGACTGGATATGTTTTCCATGTGGATAAATTCTCAGTAAATTTCCTTTCTATGTGTAAGTCCTGAAATAAAATCAAATTCTGAAATAATTTCAGTTTTTTAGGGAGTGACGGCAGAGTTTATTCAGTGGAATTAAAAGAAACCGATCTGGATTCTTCAGACATCGGCGAATTATTTACGGTTATTGAGTCGATTTCGTGTAAGGAATACGTGTCTCTGGTTTCCCTGGACCCCAACTACATCGCCATGTATGGTTGCAACTCAAATGAAGAAGGAGCTTTGCTAGTCATCTACAACGTCCAGTTTAAAGTGGTTCAATCAAAACAGTCGTTTAAATTATTCACAAATGGTGCAAAACTGTATTGTATTGATGGAAATCTCTTTTTCCCAGTGGGTCAGAATCTTGCAGTTCTTCCATTCCACTTGGATATGGAACAGTTGGCAGCACTTGTTGGCAGTCACAAAGTTGTACAAACTGACCCCGATATTTCCATTGTGCAAAAAGTGCAGTTTGTTAGTTGGGGGAAAAACCCTGATTTAAACGTGAATAATGTGCCGGATAAAATCAAGTCAAAAGTTGAAGATTTTGAAAGCCAAGGCTTATCGGATAATTTTATTTTTGAAGCGCTTTTAGCGGACGTTTTGGAGGGGAAAAATTTAGACACACTTATAGAAATGGTGGATTATTTCGCAGACGTGCCGGAAAGTTGTTTGGTGAAAGTTTTAAAACTTTTAATTAATTTAGAATCAAAGTTGTTTAAGAAAAATACACAAAGTGCTGCTAGTAATTTTCCTCCAAGTTTGCAACCGCGCGAAAGAACCGAGTTATTAGATGTTATCTTAACAAAATCTTTCAATGAAACTTTGCTTTTGTCGCATCTTCGCTCGATTTTATCACTTGACGAAGTCTTGGTGTTATTGCAATACATTCATTTTTTGTTGTCTGAAAATGGGCATTGTTTACCATCTCATAATTTTATGGAAACGGAAGCAAAGTTGATTGAATGGAGTTGTATTCTGTTGGATGCTAATTATCAGAAGTTTTTGTTAAGTAGAGATGCCAAAATTAGTGAAACTCTGACGTCACTAAAAAATCAAATTAAAGAGGAGCTCGAATCATACGACGATTTGCAACAGCTTGCTGCCTTGTTAACTGAAATAAAAAATAACAGACCGATTCAAAAGACCATTCATATGGGCGGAATGGATTATTCAATAGGGGAATTTCCTTTATACTGAACTTAGTTAATATATTTTTTAGTTTTTGCTATCTTTTCTTCAATCGGACCCTGTTTCCTTTATTTAAAACACCTTGGCGAGTGCAGAACATTTATTACACAATTCAGTAAAAAATAAATTAGAAAGCATATCTGGTCCTTATATCTTCTAATTTTTTCGAGACTTCTGCAGGAGTACGATCCAAATCAGACGCTATGCTCTTTTGTTTAGCAGGTTCCAGTGAGTTATACTGTTCACACAAGTCTCCATCTATGACATTCTGTGAAAAAAAAAAGAAATCATTCTCAAAATTCACAACAAAATTACATTATCAAATAAAAAAATTAATCAGTAAAAGTTAAATTTAATCAAAGTGGATCATAAGTCTAGCATGCTTTAAAATCATCATTCATTATTAAATAATGAATAAATATTAAAAAATCGTGTTTGCACCTTGACAGGATAATAGTAACTTCTAAATGAAAGATGATCTCTTCCACACAATGGCGTGTTTTCGCTCCTCATGTGCATTTCCAAATGTTGGAAAAAATCGTGATCTTCTCGTGACGTAAACGGTACAAGAACCCCAACACTTCCTGATAACGTTGTATAAATCAAAGATTCCCAACCTCCAGGAATCAGAGTGGCTTTTTGCAACCACGTAACAGTCTCACCGACGTGGAATGTTGCAATAGTATCAGCTTTTTGTGACGCACCATTCAAAAGTCCTACAATTTATCATAATAATAATAAAAAACTTCTTTAATGAAAAAAAAAAAATGTAGCTTGCGTGGGAGACCCAAAAAAACTTACACAATGAATTTTTCTGGTACTATGAGCAAGCATTTAATCTTGGACATTTGCGATAAAACCATTTTCAATTAAAATAAAAATGATTTGACGTAATGTCCACAAAAATCAAACTGAAAATATACAAACCTCTATCCCATAACGATTTATGTCCAGTGGGATCCTCTTCAACGTCATCACTAACATTTGGCGGCAATCGTAAAATTGCAATATTTCCAAACTTGTCAGCGACAGCAACTGTATCATAATCAAGGACGCAGTTACAAGTAACCCAACGGGGGTGAGTGTCATCGGCAAATATAATCAATTGATTTTCAGCTCTCTTGTATCGAACCATAAAAACTGACTCTTGAACATCCGAAACAAAAATTCTTTTACCCATAGCTTGAATATTTACAATAGCGTTTGGTATATGCTGAAACAGAACAGTTTCAGTTTAGTACCAATACTCAACAAATAAGAGAACGTCATTGGTGTAAAAAATCAGAACTGCAGGATTTCAACACCATTTCAGAAATTTTCTTTATCATCATTTATTAAGAGGCGGCCGGAGCAAAATTTCTTATGGGAGTTCCAATGTAAATGTCTACCTCTGTATTTCAAAAACTACTAAAGAATTTGGTAGCATGTGAAAGAGAATATTTTTTTCTACATTTTGACTGTTTTAAAATTGCGATAAGTAATCTACAAATTGTAATAAAGGTAGAAAGAGTTTGAATAAAAGTGCGCATATTAAAAAAAAATACATTTTAAGACGTTTTTCCAAACTTTTAAAACAGTCAAAATGTAGATTGTTGTATATTAAGGTGACAATTTCAAGTCCGGTAAAAAAATATTTATAAATAAAACCTGTACAGAGGTAGAATGATTTGGAATCGAAAATCGAGTGAGCACAAGATTATTTACAACCCCCATTTAAAATGTAACCGCAAAAAATTAGACCCAAATTTACAACCACACCCGCCGACAAGCTGATGACACAGATGTCATGAATTTGTAAAAGAAGATTTTAGAGATTTTTAAAATTGCTTTACAATTTAATTTTTACCTTTTGCGTAAATGACAATTATAATTTCATTACAATTGGGTCGTTGTACATATTTTTTATTGCATATTCTAAATCTTTATTAAAAAATAATTGACCAATTTTTTTTTTGAAATCTTAATTTTAGTACAAAAAAATATATCAAAAACTCGTAAAATTAAGTAAATTCAAAACGCGCGCATTGGAGAAGAAACTAAGTGCTGAAAAGGGGGAAGATAAAATTGTTAAACGCTGCGGATTATTTATTGACAGGAAAGTTTTTTTTGGGAGCATTGCCAGACGGTATCATTAAAAACGAAGAAATGAAATAAAATGTCCGTATACTGGAGAAAACCTATTGAAAACAGAAATAATTCAAAAGGGCGATGAATTCTGATGGAAGGAAAAAATGTAGTCGAAGTTGGAGAAATTTTACATGAAGGCACTACTTCTGGAAATAATTGATCCAAGAACGTCCAGAAGTATGCCACTAAGGGAGATTCAATTAAATGAATAATATACTCGAAAAGATAATGAAAATTTTATTGTCGTGTACAATATAAAATTTTATTCAATCCTCACAAATTTTGTAGTCCATTTTGGTCGATATTTATAAATGTCAAAGTAAAATTCAACAATGAAATCTAATGTCAAAGCAACTAACAACCGCAGATATACAACAATTGATGTATTTTTTATCACCTAGACGATAAAATTTCATTTTAACATAGAGGATTGAATAAAAATTATTTCCTTTGATTTTTATTTGTTATTATTTATAACCAAGGTGATATAACCTCCTTATAAGTAAACTAAATTGGCAATTATCTACGATAATATTAAAAGAATCCTAATAAAACATTAAAAGTATAAAATTATCAAAAAATCAAAAATAAAAGTGGATTGCGGCGCTTTTTTGAACTTTTTTTACAACTAGCCAAATATAGATTGTTGTTTCTAAGTCGATAACTTCAAGAGGTGATCCAAAATTATATAATCCGCAATCCAAAATCAGGTAGCAATATTACAAGAATGCTAATAAAACATTAGAGAGATTTTATACCTGAAAGCACCACAACAAAACCGTCTCCGTACAGTGTTGTAAAATTCTGAAGGCCAAGTTTGCTCCGGACGGGCCTTAATTTCCATAAGATTTTAAAATATTACAAATACTAACCTTGTTTTCACATTTCCTCAAGAGTTTCTTTTTCCCCATGTCGTAAAGCCTTAACATTCTTCCAACTCCTGCAAGTAGCAGCCCATTATATGCACACAGAGCCATTGGAACTTCATCAACGGGAGTTCTATGAACGAACTCTAATTCCCGACCCATAGGGTCCATTTTATAAGTGTCCAAAAATCCACTGTTACAATGTCTCGGATTTAATTGAAAATCTTTAGAGATTCCAACAATCAAGAAAAGAGTCTGTTGGGGTTGATTTTGAAATTTAACTAAAACACTAGACATGGCTGCTTCGTTCTGTTCTAATCGTATACATTTATGTACGATTCCTTGTACTGGATCCATTATTTTTAAGGTCGAGGCCCACATTCCATGACCTGCTTTAGGTGCAGAAAAAATACTTTCGGGTAAATCTTCATTCAAGAACGCATCAGCCATTTCTTTCGCCAATTCTTGCTCTTCCTCACCGGCGGCTTCTTTCATCTCTTCAGCCATTTGTAATCTTCGTTGTTTTTTCGTTTCTTCAGTGTACGCATTATGTTCGGTTTCTATGATCAGTAAATTATTACTTTCAGGATGGATGATAAATTTCCTTGGAGTGTATTCGAGCGGAAATGAGACTTGATTAAAAACAGCCCCCAGTTTTTCCAACGCTAAAATCCTCAACGTATTTGTGGAAATCGCAACGATACCTTCTGGACATTGCTCTGAACTGAATCCCGATGCATATTCCAAACTTTCATACGATAACGGAGTTAAATAAAACCGACTTTGGTAGTAATAACTCAACCAAGAACGACTACTCATCGCCAAGACAGCTTCTGATTGTTGCATTCTTATTCTGAATAATTTTACCGGTCTCGAACCCAAATATCTAGTTCTTGTATCTGACAATTCTCCAGAGACTGGATCTAATACGTTGCGAAGTAAAGCACCGTTTGTAAGACCAATGTTTAGATATAAAGTACTGGTTGTGCTAGCAGCTGCAGCGTTATCTGGTTCACGATCTGTGCAACCCATTTCTACGATACATAAAGACTCGGCACAAACGGGTAATCCTTGAATAGAACGCGGAGCCAAACAATCGCTCGGATCTAAGGAGATAATCCGTACTGTACTATCGGCTAATCCTACGGCGAGGAAGAGGGATAATTGTTCGCCGGGAGCCACGTTTGCTAATGCCATGCAAACGACATCGGCGTTCATACGTTTTCGTTCTTTGTATTCGTGTAATTGGCCCGTCTGTAAAACACAGCATTATTACTAAGGCTCGGATTGTAGACACGAAAAAATTCGTAAAATATGCGCATACAGGGTGCGCCAGAACTCGCGCCCCAGAGATAAATTTCAAGTAAGATAAGATACCAGGAACATGAAAAAAATGTTTAAAAAATTCTATCTGTCAAAAAAAATTTGACATTTATTTTTTGACATTTGACATTTTTTTATATCTATTTAATGATACTGATGATCTTGTAAGTATATGTTTTTTTTTAATTATTTAGTAAAGGGACAAACATTTTGACAATAAAAGCCACAAATGACATTGAACAGAGTTACAATTTAAGATACAACTTCCTTGTTTCCTCTTTTAATAGCCTATAGCAAAAAAACTTGGAAAATTATTTTTCCAACAGAAATAAATAGAGTCAAAGTGTAAACTTTAAACCCTCATAACTTCGAAATTTTTATAGATAATTTTTTTTTAACATTTTTTCCATGTTCCTGGTATCTTACCTTATATGACATTTTTCTCTGGGGCGCGAGTTCTGGCGCACCCTGTATACATACAGGCTGTTCGGTTCAAGTCGCCCCGGCTGATAACACCTAAACTTACTTCTTTTTTTCAAAAAGTAAATATTTAAGTAATAAAATTCATTCTTGGCTTTCTTAATAAATGTATTAAATTTTTTAGCACATCCGGTGTTGCCGGAAATGTTACCAAATTAAATTTTTCAAATAAAACACCTGTTTTTTTTTTCCTCCAAACAATAATAATTGATATGAAAAATACTGTAAACCACTATTTATTACATTTTGCGTAACACAATGCAATCAAAAAACATCTTAAATCTTAGAATTCTATAAGGAAATTGTCGCGTAGCCTGATTTTTAATTTTAAAGGGAAGGTGTGAATAAAAAAAATGCTTGGAGACAGTTTAATTGTTGGTTTAATAAATCAAATTTGTTAGTTGATGAACGAGTTCTCTTAAAACGATTGGATTTTCTTCGACTGCTAACAGAACATTCAGATTTCTAGAACCACAGGTTTTTTAGTTTTAAGAAGGTCTGAGTTGTTTTTCAATTCGACTAAATTTCCAACCATTTGGGTGAACTCTATTTGAGTATTTTTCTCAGTCTTTCAGCTTTCCGCTCTATTTTTATTGCACTTAAAAAACACTTCAAGCTGATCTACCAATTCGTATTTAGTTTTTTAGTTTTTGAAAAAAAAAGTAAGTTTAGGTGTTATCGGCCGGGGCGACTTGGACCGAACACCCTGTATATGCACGTATTATAACAAAAATATGCACAGGATATTAAGAAATCAAATATGCATCGTTATGCAAAACTTTTAACAATAAACAATCAAAGTTGGGATAAATTTTTATCCTCCAGTACACTAAACTTTGCACACGATGAACAAAAGACAATAAAAAAATTGGTTTTGCCTCTGACAAGATATTTAATAACCTAATAATTAAGCCTTTTGAAGAAATCTGTACTTTTCAGTTCACATCACTTTAAAAAATTTTGCTAAAATTAATTTGCAAGCAACTTCTATCCGCATAGATGGATTTAATCGTTTTATACCAGGTGAATAGAAAGTATGGAACCAAACGTTTTTTGCTTAAACTATTTATTTTTAGAAAAACTAATTGATGAATTATAAAGTACTACAAAAATGTGATGTTTGATCAAGAAAAAAATTTTTGAAAATTTTTATTTGTTTTTGAATTCTACAAAAATATAT